CAACGACTTGACAAAATGAAATGCGCTCAAATTAAAGTGATTTTTTTTTTGGTCGGGGCTTTGGCTTTGCTTCTTTATTGCCTGGCGTTTTTTACGTTGTTGTTGTTTTGTGCACCTTTTGTGGTTGTTTGTTTGTTGTTACAGCACAACGAGCGGCGGCAAAAAGGTAACTAAAAAAAATAGAGAAAAATTATGACTTTTGATCTAATTATGGCTTTGGACCCTATTTGTTTGTCCCGCGGCAACCTTGGCACCAATTTGTTTGCTTTACTTTGCCCAACTGGGTATTTGTTTATTTTCTGCCGCCGCCACTGCCACCGCTGCTTGTTGTTATTGTGGCTTTCTCTACCGCATTCTAAGGCTGAGCTTGCCACGCCCACACGTCGATATATAGCCTGGAAACAATAATTACAGCTGCAAAATTTTGCAATTTTTGTTTTGCGTTTTTGTAATCTTTGTTTTACGTTATTGATTTGATTTTGGGATTGGTTTCTTTGGCGATATTTTAAATTGGAGCAGTAATCGAGACAAAGAAAAACCAAGAAACATATTTGAGATAACCAAACAATTATCCTCCAGCCTCTGGTCATATTATTTACTGGCATTAGTATTTTGTAAACTGCTTAAGTTGTGGCACGATGTTGGATTTCTGGGATTTCGGGAGTTGTTTCGCTTTTTGTTCCCCAATTTTTTGCGCAATCATTGGCGCCGCCAAACGAAAGACTTAAGAAACGAACTTTAGCATTTTTTCTGCCTGCGCTCGGCTTCTTTTATTTCTGTTGCGGATTTTCTTATCCACTGCCCCATGAAAAAATGCCAGGGGCGTGTCCCAATCGAAGGGGCAACGAAGGGGGATTCCGTTTTTTCTTTTTTCAACTGCTCTAAACAATTTTGTCGCTCAAACGACTCCATTAAGTCAGTCGATGGTTTTATGGCTTTATGCTTATTGCCGGTTGATGAATTGCATTTTGCATACTCTACCTAAATTTGTGACTGGCGAAAGTCCATTAATTATGCTAAGGGATTTGTATATTTTACCAAGTTCCTTTTTTAAAAAGTATAACTCTAATAATGTATAACGTTTAAGAAACTGGCAGAATATTAAATAAATAAATAGGGCTTTGTTATTCTTTTATTATTATTATTATTAGTAAGCCAATTGTTGCTCATTAACATTATCGTTTCCTAAATTGGTCTTCATTGATAGAATTACACAAAACAATACAAAATATATATTTATATTCTTTCTAATTAAAATACAATTCATTCATTCATGTTGTTTTATATTTTTCTTACAACTTATTTTAATAATAATAAATGGCTTGTTGAAGAGCATCCAACATTCTTTGTCGGGCAAGATGCCTTCGGCTCGTATAAACGTTTTTCTTTCTTTTATTTTGTATGCTCATATTTATGTAAATTTCATAGGCGTGACTCAATGATTTGTAGTCCGTGGCTATATAAGCTTCGATCTGCATATCGGCGTGGCTATATTTGTGTATTCGAATCGCGTTGACAACCCGGCGACGGCCCTTTCACATATTTTTCGGAATGAACAATCAGCGGCCGCGGATTAGCTGCATCGACAGATCCGAATGGTCCCCTATATATGACCATATAGCCATAGATATCCATGCTGTCAAATTCGTTGCACTCATTAGGCCAATTCAATTGGCCGCGGGTAAAATGGAAATAAATACCCAAAATGTAAATGGGTCTTAATTGTGTTGTTAAGGCCGCTCGGTAATTCGATATGATGTGATATGTGACTGGAAAGACACAAACAAAGAACAACTAAAACTAAAACTAAGCCAAGCCTCCGCAACGTCAAAATTAATCACTTCCCTTTACTAGAATTTGCATGCAGACGTAGACAGTAGATAGCAGACTGCAGACGGCTGATTTCAGACTTTCGATTTTTTTTTCGTGGCTCTGATTTGAGTTCAGCCGCCTTTTGTGGGGTTTTTCATTCGCCTGTCGTTTTGGTATCAATTAAAACCCAATTATGCCCCGCGGGCAAGTCTCGGAAAATGCGCACCCAAAGCGATATAATGCCCGTCCGGCCATAACGGGTTTGCTCCACGCACCCAAGGTTACCATAAGCAAATATTTACAATATAGTATGTGCGACCGACAGCATATATGTTACATATACATATCGCTATATTTGAGTGCATATTGGCGGAGAACGCTCGCCGTTGTCAGGCGATCTGTAAAATGCAAATATCTGGAAGGGGGAGCAAGATCAGTATGAATCACGATCAGTATGCCCTGCTGTAAATTTTAATTTAAAATACATTTTTTTCTTAGAAAATGTGAATATAAATATCTAAATTTGCAGGGGAATTTAAAACATTTCTTATAGAATAACTAATGTATTATTGCTTAAACTTTAACGAAAAGAAAAGGAAAAGCGAAGTAAAAGCAAATCATGATTTGAATTGGCTTTAATTTTTTTTCGTAATTTAAAAAATAATTAAAGACTGAGAAAACTTCGTATTATCATTAGGCACACACCATAAATCATTTTGTTAAAGCGTTTAACAACTCTATCATTTCATCCACAATTAAGCTTTATTTGCAGGCATTTTTTTTGACTTTAACAAAATATCTTTCACTTAATAACTCGCTGAATTGACTTTCTTTTCGTTTTTCCTCCCCCCATTTAAGATCACAATTATGTTAGCAACATCTTAATTTATTTGGCGCAGCACATAGGGAAACTGTTTGACCGAAATGAAAAAAATTAAAACAAAAATGATGGAGGCTTGAAAAGTTAATTTATACCCGGCCGCCGCCCAAGTGTTGTTGTGTCTGTCAATGTTCGATTTATTGGGCACATGTCGAGTGTCCGAATCGTGCCGATTGGCGAACGATAACGATAGGTTCGACAAGCTGCCGCCAATGTGTGGTCCCATCGATCGATCAAGTTGTCGCAAGTGCAGCGATAAGATCGCCATCTGTTTTTCAATTTTTCCATGTTTTTTCCATTTTCAATTTTCAATTTTCCTACAATGAAGCTGTCATAAGTTCTATGCTGTCGTTCTGTCGTTTGCGAGGAATTGACAATTGCATTCGTTTCGATTTGTTTCGGTTCAATTTATACGCTTCCTGTCCACTCAATTGGCATCAATTATTCGGCATTCTCGACTTAATTATATCGCCGGCTGTGTCGGATGACATTGATTGCATCCTGTGGAACACACATTTTTTGGACCACTTTTGGGGGTCTGTCCAAATGTGGGGCATTCTCTGCGATCTGTGCAACACCAGTCCACTCCGTTTGGCATGCTGCTCATAAGTCTCTTTTATGGCAGTTTAAAGTGTTTCACATCGCAATTATTGTTAATCAACCGTCGGCTAATTGCAGCTCTGGTCCCCGCCATAAACAGACGAATTATAATCACAATTAAATGCGATAAGTAGCCGCTTAGCGTGGTTGACAATGAAAATTTCCAAGCAATTTATTTGGTGGCAAGACCCTTGGAAAATTGTTACGTGTGGCTAATGCTAGGAAATTGACGAGCTGCCAACTATATGACATTACTTGAAATTTTAAAGATGGCTTAATGTGTCATTTAAGCAAAGTAATAGACTTGAGATTATAATTAAATTCTCTTCTATGGGTTGAACTTACCGTCTAATGTGTAATTTAATTTAATATTGTAAAAATATATATATAACATAAAGAGAAAAGATTTATAGTCGTAGCTTAGTGTTCAATCAATGTGTTTTACTACCAACAAACTAATCCTTTAAATTTATATATTATCCACAAATGAAATGGTTTTTTTTTAACTTTATATTATCTTGGCTGTAAATCAGAGAGACCTCAAATTGATTTCGTGCCAGAAAATGAAATAAATCAACGATATTCTGAACGCAAAGCCATTGCCCATCCCCCGTTCCGATCTCTTCGGATCTTTCAAGGGCCATTACGAATATGCATTCATTGCTGCCATAAGCAATGAATGCATATCGTTTGTCTTGTGCCACGGCAAAGGCAAATAACTCAGGCCGAACAATATCTGGTTGGACAAATGGTTGGCAATATGTTTTGCAATCGTTGCCGTATTCCGTATTCCGATTCCGATGCGATGCCGACGCCGATGTCGATGCCGATGCCATATGTCAATGGCTTCTGTGGGTTCTCACAATTGCCACACATTGTTTTTATTACCGTTGAGGGCAATTAAAAGCGATTTAATTATCAGTCGAATGGAAGGGTAGGGGGAAATGGATATACGTATATGTTTTATTTCTTTCGCTGGAATTAAATGCAAATGAAGAGAGCCGCCACAGAAATATTTGAAATAGTTGCCTTCGTTGCGCATGCGTGTGACTTGATTACAGCAACAAAACCGTTGACAAAGACTTTTATTGGCAGGCAGCAAGCGGCAGCGGCGCAAAAAAAAAAATGAAAATTATCGTGCCACCGAGCAGAGAAATAAAGGAAAAATGCATTGAACGCGCACGCATACCAAGTAAATTATAGAGGGACCAAAAAACCAGACCAAGTGGTTAAAACTATGGCCAAGGAGGGGGTTTGAATGGCCACTTGCGTCATCTGGATAAATGCATTGTGGCATTTGTCATTTCAATTGCGCGTAAGCTTAAATAACTGCCAAGTTTGTGTCCTAAGTCTTTTGTTTTTTCCCCATTCGAAATCGGTGGATGGGAAATTCTGAGAATGAATTGGAAACTTTGAAAGGGTTCAGCAACGCCTATGCTTGTCGTATTTTTTCTGAGTTTTTAGGGAAATTGTTTTAAGTTATAAGTTTAAGCTCAATTAAATTTCAAGTTTGTGTCCTAAGTCTTTTTTTGTTTTCATTTAAATTCAACATTTAATTTCAGATTTTAATGTAAACTGTTTCTGCTTGAACTCTCGTGGACATATTTAGCGTTGGTTTACTTACTATTACACAACGTTTTTATTTTTATTCCTAATTATAAACAAATAAATATTTTAAATAGTTTTTTTTATGTTATTTTCTTTATAGGAACATCCATCAATCATAAAGATTTTGGAAACTCACTTTCTAACAATATTTCACGGCATGAGTACAATCTTATTATGATGTGTTTTTAGGTAAGTTTATTGCTTGTGTAATCAGCATTTTATTAGATATATGTACATTAATTTATGATGAACGTTTTTCTCAAATATTGAAATTTTTTTTTTGAATTCATTCATGTTTTCTTTTAAGCTATAATCTTTCCAAATTGATATATTTAGTGCTGCCAAAAAAAGTTTGCCATAATGTTTACCTTTTCAACGTTCGTTTATCTTCCCATATACCCAAACATAATTAAACTTTTTTTAGGACTTTAATACTCGTTTATTATCGGTCCATTAAATCGGTTTATCTATCAATTTGGTACTTTTTTCTTTTTAATTTTCCAACCATCTACATCCGAGCGAGCGCCTTTTAATTTAAGCAACAAAGAAAAAAAAACCCTCAAGCCAGGTGGAAAAAAAATTAAATCACGAAGCGCGAGCTCTTGCCAAAAAAAAGACCAAAAAAAAAAAATAATAAAACCATCAGCATAATCTGTTGAACGGACAAAAGACGATGATTATGTTTGATGATGATGATGCGCGTGCCATGGCGCCATTTAGTGCAAATTTGTCGATGCTTCCGGCCAAAAGATTTCGCTGGCCCACCTGCAACAGTAGCAACTAGCAAATAGCAACTGGCAACCAGCAACTGGCAACTAGCAACTAGCAACTGGCAACCAGCAACACCAACGGTGGCAAGTGGCAACATCAACAGACATTCACTTTGGCTACCTTCGCCTTTTTCATTTTCATTCAATGCCAAAAAGAAAAGCGCCTCATAATTTCCGCGCCACTTTTCCACGTCGTGAAATGGGTTTCGTGGTGAAAGATGAGTCGGCGTTTTTAGTGCCGGCCACAATCACAATGCTGGCCTGTCCTCACCTCGGTCCATCTATCAATTTGAATTTGAATCCAATTGTGCCAGCCCACTCGATCCAGAGCCCAGTCAAGTCAAGTAATTTGCATGATGCCTAGGCTGCTGCTGTTGCTTTTGCTGCTTTAGCTGATTTTGTTGCTTTTGTTGCTTTCGTTGGCAATTAAGGCGAGTTGGTCTGGCCCGGAAGCCGTGCCCAAAAGATCGTGTACAGTTAGAACGGCTGGCGGCGGCAACCGATAATTATGGTTAATAAATATTAGCTGCCAAAAGTGCAATAAACCAGACGAACGACAAGCGACAAATGCAAAGCAGCCAGCCCAGCGGGTCAAAGGGGAGTTGTAGGGGGGAGGGGTTCTGGTTCTTGGCCCGATCATATTTCCAGCTAGTTAATTGCAATCGACACACATGCCTATCTAGCATACTAAGGAAAATACTTCAAGAAACATTACCACTTTTATTATGCACTCTTAACTACTTTGTTTTCAAAAGTCTACACAAAAAAGAAATTGTTTTATGTTATGTGTTTCTTAGTGAAACTAATTTTATAATTTATTTCTGTATAAGCTCTTACCTTTTTGGTTTTGTTTTCAGATCTATACAATTTAAATAAATAGTTTCTTAAGTAATTGTCGCTAAAATCAAATACCCTAGGTTATTGGCAGTTCATATGTTAACTTTTTCACTGTGTATCAAAAATAATGACATAGAAACCGGTGAGGTGAGAGATTTACTATCTCACGCACCCAATAAAACAGTGACCAGCACACATTTCATATATATTGGGTATATTCAGTTTAAACTTTTATAAATTTTTAGGTACCAAAGTCAGCTTTCCTAATTTTAAATTAAATTAGAAGCTTATTTTCATTTGGAAGAAGGAAATTTAAAGTTCCTAGACTTATTAAAATGCTTACATTATAATAGTATTATTATTGAAACGTTTGTACAATAAAAAAAGCTATATTTTACATGATATTCAATCCTTAAAAAATCAGGTTTTATTTTTTTTTTGGCATGTTGTTTTACAAATGGGTTTGCCCCACTGTAACCGTTGGTGTTTCCATTTCGTTGGCTGCCGAAGCTCAGTTTAAACAAACATTCTGCTGACCGACAGATTGTAACGCCCCAGTTCCCCCTTGTCTTATCGACGGGGGGGGCGTGGCACTAGAGGCGGCTGCAATGTTTTGGCTACAAAGTCGAACTGAAATGAACAAAAATACAATGTTGCATGCAACTATTTCAGAGTTTTCAGTGGGTTCCTAGTTAACGTTTGGCAATTAAACAGTTATCGGGGACATAATAAGGCAGTAAAAAAAAAAAAAAAAAAATAGAGGTAAAGTAAAGCAAAGTAAGACCAATTAGAGCGCTTAGCCCAGACGCGATTTTGCAATAGTTTAATAACCATTTTTCAACATGACGGACCGGAGTGATCGCTATTCTTGAAAATTGAATTTAATTAGAACTGAGTACTATGACAAAATGATTAATTAAAGGCAATTTGAGACGCCCACTTGGGGCCTACATAGATATGGGCAACATATGCTCCGATCACCATACAACCCGGTACTTATCGGAACCGATCCGTCCAAGTGCCGTTGCTAATGGCTGTGGAAGCTGGCGACAAGTCTGAGCCGCTAAATTGTTGTTAATTTCTAGCCATAATTCAAGCCAAGCGCCTCATAAACAAACAACTCTGTTAACAACGAAATGGGCTGGGGGAGGCGATCAAGGGGGTGGGGGGTTGTAGGGGGTGAAGGGGGCTGGCCGCACTATCAGTTGCAAGTGTTGAAGTCATAAATCTGCATAATGATCATGTCGCAGCCCGTTAGTGCGTTAGCTTATTTAATGATTAATCGTGCGGTGTGTGTGGGTTGATTTCCATTCCAAAGACTTAAACAAAACAGCCAAAGAACGAGAAAACACTTTTGGCCAGTTTTTACGATCTGTCAATGGTTCCTTTCACAATTTTAGAAGGGTGTCAGACTGCTGCTGAATCAGCACAAAATTCTAGATCGTAGAATGGACCGAAAAAGTCGAATACTTCTGCAGGAGTGTATATAAATCAAAAGACTTAAGCAAAAAACTTGTAGTTTTCAACAAAAAACTAAAGGTAAACACTTTCAAATATATATTAAAGTTCGATATAAAAGTTGTAAATAAAATGAAACTTTTTAAAAAAATTACCACATTAGAAATGTTTTAGGAAAGCTAATATGCAATTAAAAAGTATTTAGAAAACATAATATAGCTTTTTATGGCACACTAAAACAATAGTTATAAACTTTCTTACAATTTATGCAAAACTGCACAGTCTCTGTCGCTTTCTAGATTGCTTAAGTTCCCCTTTCAAGTGCATATAATTACCTGATTCTAGGGCCAAAGTCACTCGCTTTTTGCTGCTTTCACAGAGCTGTGCGAATCCGAGGATTTCACTGGCGGCACGGCACTTTTACCCACCCAGTGGTAGTAGTCATTGTCATTAGCGGTGGCATACGGTGCACAGTAGACACTCGAAAATAGACACATGTGAACAGCTCGCGAGTGCCACGCCCACCTGACAGCCGGCTGCCCATTGTTGACAGCGGGAAAGTTTGCCTCTTTGTCTGCCCGTTTGTTTTTAGCGTCTTGACTTTTGCCCCTCTTTCACTCGGTGGAAAAACTTTGGAAACTTTGAAAATTGGAGCTGAAAATACAAATTAAACTGAAGCTGAGGCTGAGGCTGAGGCAGAAGCTATTAGGCCCACTGTGCCGGCTTTCGGGCCTGGTCTTTGTTTTACGGTTCATTAACGCCGCAACACCTCAATTAAACCGAATTAGTAAGAGCGTACCGCAATTGTCGACCCACAAACGCGAGATGGGATGCCGCTCATTACCCGCATTTGCATAATGATTGCTGGTTTATTCTAATTAGGGTTTTTACCTCGAATGGGAACCTCTTTAATTGATATGGCTGCACAATAATATCAGTGGTGCTAAATGGAACACTCAGTCTAATTGTTATTTATCACATATCCATTCTGAATGTGAGAAAAACCATAAAACAAAGACTCAAAGAGTTTCATAATTAAGGATCTTTAATCATATAAATACATTGCTTCTTTTGTTTAGCTTAAATTTAATCTTTGTCCATATTATGCTGATAAGCAATGAACTAGAGGAGAACAAGAGGCTTAAATTCGAAAATATAATCTAGATAGATTAACTGGTAATGGTAAATCTGTCGAAAATCCTACCTATCCTATCAAACCGACTTGACCTTGAAGTTGAGCAGGTGGCAAACGGAAACCTTGTAAAAATCAAAAGCCATAAAAACGAGATCAATTCAGTGTGTGTTTTTTCGGGGGAAGCGAGGAAAAGGGGATAGTACTTTGGCAGACAAAAAACGAATCTGCTGTCGAGCCATGTTCGAATTCCCAATCGCAATGCCTTCCGTTAACGGCTCGAAAAACAACTCTATTATTCATGGGGCAAAACGACGGCGAAAATCAAAGCACCGATCGACGTTGTCGGCGATTAAACAATAAAATAACAATTATTGGCGGCAGAGCGGCTGTCCCGTAATGAATGAATTCGATGAGTGGATGAGTGTGGCAAATGAGTCAAGTGGCATCCACATCCACATCCACATCCATATCCACATCCACGCTCACGACTGCAAGTTGCAGCTTCTGCGGACGGAACTCGTAAATCAAGTGCTTTTTGTTCGATGTTCGGCGTTTGCTGCACGGAAAACAATTGTAAATATAACTTATTTCAGTTTTCTTAGTATATGTGGTAAAATATTAAAATATGCCTACAATTAGCAGGAACGAAATATTTTTGATTTAATAATTTTGTATTTTATAAAGCACTCAGCACTATATAAATGAATAAATTTTGAATTGAATATTTAAAGACCATAAACATTTATTTTAGGCCAGTATTTATATTAGTAATATATGGAACACTAAAAACAGACTTTATATGTTACCAAATAAATATTTTTAAAATTTTTTGATGTGTTTATTCAAGCAGACAAATAGCAACAACACAATTAATATATCTTGAAACATTGTTATGTTTTATTTGAGAACCAGCCTGAGTAACTAAAGGATCAAAATGTCATTTCAATTCTTGTAAGTTCCGCTTTTGAACAATCTTTATTTTCGGTGCAATGCCTGTTTGGTGTCCAATTGCTGCTTTTTTGATGATCAACACTTCGAGTTTGGGGCATTAAAACGCTTAACCATTAATCGGCTCTGGCTAGACTTAATTTTCGGAAGCTTATGCGGCGTCGATCCGCCGATGGATGGTAGAAACAAATAACATTGTATATGCAAGTGCTGTTTAATTGAGGAACCGCAGATCGTGGCACACGCACATGTGCAGTTGCAACATGCCACACACATACGTTTATATCTGCAAAAACAAATAGCAACAGATACAGATATAGATAGAGACACATTTGCAAGCCGTCTCATGAAAATCTTAGGGAAATTGCAAAACATTTACTCAGTCCCAACTTCAACTTCGATTTTGATATCCGGTTGCCAGTGGGTTTTGTTGTTGGCCCCGCTGTCCGGCGACTTATTAAATCATTTTTGCCGATTTGGTTTCGCTTTTTGCCAGGCATTTTTGTGCCTGGCATACAAAAGCACTGCACGCAGGAAAATGACCAAAACGATATACTCCGAGTCTGGCAGATGCCAGAAAAAATATTGCAAAATCTCAATAAACTGAAAAATAATGAAACGGAAATGAGGCACAGGCGAAGGGAGGAATATTACGTGAGATTGATTTCCCCTTTGCGAAGAGGTAATAAAATGTTTTCTTTTTTTAAGATTTATTGGGAATACATAATATAACTCATTTAATTTTACCATGAATTTATTAAAATCAACTTCAAGTCATGTTAAATAAATGTTTTTCACTTATGAATCCAAAGTGTAAGCGGTTGAAGCTATTAAAAAAATGTATCTCAAAGTGTTTCATTTAATTCATATTATTTTAGGATCTATAAGCCTAGAAAATAATTATGTTAAATAAATATTTTCATTGATAAATCTTAAGTGTGAGCTGTTAAAGCAATTCAAAAAATGTATCTCAAAGTACCACAGCCACTCTAAAGAAGCAAAGTCCACTTGAAACTCAAGTCAAACAACGCAAAGTCGCGCCAAGAGTGTTGACCAACATTTGACTAATTAACACATCACAGTCAACTGGGTGAGACGACGGGCAGCACTCGATAAATGGGTCGCTACTCACACGGTTGGCCTAATGTAATTTTGATGTACTGCGCAAACGACTCTGAAAGATATTGTTGCCTACCCATCATTTCTCTTCTTAATGCGGCAATTACCGAGGGGGAAATGGAACGGAGCGGAGCGGAACGGAAGGCAGAGGCGCCGCTGGACACTTGGACACTCATCCAAATGGATGGTGACAACCGCACCGCCAGGTGTTGCATCCATGCCAAAGCCGAAAAAAAAGCAAGCAAACCGATGGACTTCCGCCTTTCCCCTGTGAAAAAAAAATAATAGTAGAAATCGTAGAACTACTGCCTCCGCTTATAAATCCCCTAATTAAAAACGTAATTAAACTTTGGATTGGGGTTTTTGTGCTGCCAGCGGTTTCATTACCATTCTTGTTGCTTTTATTACATACCTGAGATCTGTAAATCAGTTCAATCCCAATCACAATGTATATCCACTTTCAGTGGTTTGAATTGATTGCATTTTGTGGCATTCTGGGGTCACAAATAATTGGTTGTATTAACAATCGATCAGATGTTGTACAAATTTTATAAAAGTCATTCACTTTGTTTACCTTTTTGGTTCATAAGCGAGGTTTTACAACCCTTCTTGCAGTAAAGTTTCAATGTTTTGTAAGTTAGTTTAACTATACAAAAAAATTTGTAAAATTTCTTGCTATTTATTGTTGCCTATATTGTATCGGTTTTAATTTTAAGAAAGATATTTTTTCGGCTTTCCCTTTTTTTTTGTAATCACTTTTCATTTGTTGTTTTTAATTTATTAAGCAGTTTGTTTTTATTTAATAAAAATTACTATTTTTCTTGCAGTTTGTTGATTGACGGTCAGAACGCTGCGTCATGTTGTTGCTGCCAACGGAAATGTGTCCAGCAGCAACAACAACAACAACAACCACAACAACAACAACAATAAACAACACCAAAAGTTGCCCAACGAAAAGTAATTTGCGAAAATCATAAAAAAGTAGCGTAAATATCTCCCGGCTCTACCAGATCCAAGTGGAGCAAAAAGCACAAAGGCCAAGCGCGAAAACAGCCAGAAAATTGCTGGAAATCTTTTGGTTCACACCAAAACAAGAAACCCCAGAGACAACATTCAAATTCAAGAACGACAACTATAGGAACAACCAGAGCAACAACAGCAAGTGTCGCCGTTTTCTTATGCACAAAAACCATTCTGTGATATCTCAAGACCCAAAGGTGAGTTGCACAAAACTATTTTACCGGCGAAAAACCATAAAGTTTCCAAAAAGGAAATCAATGATGGAAATAAAAACACTTGGCCTGCGGAAACGGAAATGCATTAACCTTTACTTATCAAGGTGTTAAAGTAGGCAACGAAAACTCTTTAATTTGAGTATTTTACTACTTTTGACATTGTAAAATATAAGAAAAGATACATTGTAACAAAACCTTAAATAATTGATACCATATATGTAATCCATATTACCTAAAGAATTGCAACATTTTTATCATAGAGAGTAAAAACTATTTAAAATATATATAATATTTGAATCATACATTTTGCTTCTAACACCTTATCTTATTTATTCATAATTTCAACTTTCATATACTCCATAGATCAGCCAATCCCATTTTGCACCCATTTTGAGTCCCATAAGTTTCCTGCTTAGATTGTATCGCACTGGTTGTCCCTCATACGACATGATCGGCTTATGATCGCTTCCACTGGCGATATATGGTATAGTAATTAGTCGAACCGAAGTCGATCATGTTGCCTCCCAACCTGGCGGTGGGTGTAGCTCGCTTTTGTAATTGGAAATGGGAACCGAACGGCTTTGCAAAAATTGTCTTGACAATGACAGCAATGTAGATGTACTGGCAGAAATCTAAAGCCATATAAATATAATTTATCTTTATGAACAAAACTCTGAAAAAATTAACTAAATTAACTGATTTTTTTATTTAAATCCTCGGAAAAAAATAATAACAAAAGTCAATCGTGGATCGATAGTTTTGGTCGACAGCAAGACAAAACAGTCAATCTCTCCTTTATTTTGACAAAGTTACAACAAAAAAAAACTTACAAAAAACACAGTTAAGTTTCAGAAATTTGATTAAAACCCCGGGAAACAGTGCTAAAAATTTTGAATATGCATTCATTGTCTATTTTGTCTACTTTTAGAATTATATTTTTTATTAATTGTATTTTGTAGTTTAAAATGAAGAGGAAAGTATTTTTTACTGTGTGGAAACCGCATTCTTCGCCCGTCGGTGACAATTAGAGAGCGAATTATGCTAACTAAATGTGCGACGTGCAAAACTAAATCGCGCAACACACTCGGCGGGAGGGCCTCGAGATCGGGGCGTGGCCATATGGTATAGTGGCTAGCCATAGCCTATGGATTGATCCAATCCGATCCATTCCAGATCGACGTTGCATAAGTGCCGTTGGGCAATTTTCATTGGCTTTGCTGAGCCGTCGGTGACTGGCAATTATAATTATAGATTATCGGGTGAAAATTCGGTTCGAAATTCGCGTCTGAGTCGGATCTTGTGCGGAGGCCACATTTATTTTCCCCCTGGGAAAAGCCAGTGGGTGGTCGGGTGGAAAAACCTGTGGAAATGTGTCACTTGGCTGCCAAAGCCCGGCTGTTGTCGCCCCATTGCGTCACGGTAGTTAAAAGGTGTCAATCACCGGCCAAGCCAAGCCAAGCCAATCCAAGCCAAGTCGACCGACCAGCAACATGCAACATGCAATATGTGTTGCATGTCTCGGCCCCGCGGGCAATTCAAGAATTCGGGGGAGCTCGAAACTACGTGATTCATTTGCGGTTTCGGCTGGGAAAAATTCGTGGCGTGCACTTGTGGTCTAAAAAGTAGTTGGCGTCTGTCAGCCTGGATGTCAAATCAATAAGAGTAAACAACATAAATGTTAAGTACGATGGGGAAAGGTTTTTGTTCTCTTTAAAAAAAAACATTACAAAACTTTTCATATTTCATTTGTCTCAGTTGGCAAGTTAAGACACTTGAGAGTTTCTCTAAATATCGATTATGTTCCCAAAAGATCGAACCAAAAGTGTTCGCCCTTTTGGCTTGAACTGGCACCCGAACCGAATGGAACTAAACTTGGCAAGCTATAGACATACATATTGCTATTGCTAAGTAGGCAGCTTGTCATTAGGGCAAAATCATGATGGGATTGGGGATGGGGGGAATGGCGAGCCACGAGCGACGAGGGGCATTCTGGGCACTTTGCATAATAAAGTTGTTTGGCTTTTGCTGCACGCTTCCCACGCCCAGTTCCCCTAGTTAAATCAAAATACCACCCGCACCCCCCCAGTTCCACCGATTTGCCCCTCTAATCAAGTGTTTTTTTATTGCTTGTTTCGCGCTGGTTCTGCAATTTGGACTGCAGACTAAAAGACACGCCCAAGATTGGTTTCCGAATGACACAAGATTCCGCTTAATTGAGGGCTCAATATTTTTCATGCTTCGGACCATGCGGCGTATGCGCAATGCGAGGAATGCCAGGCAAAGCCAACCAAGATTACGCATACGCCGCATCGGACGAGGGGGAAAATTTCAACTTAAAATTGTAACAAAAAACTCACTCCCTCATAATTGCATCACTATGCTGCCTGATCAATCAACCCGCAACAACAATAAAAATTCACCCGAAAAAAAGCAAAGCAAAGCAATAAACTCCGAAATACCACATTTTAAATCAATGAATATTTTGTAAATATTTCTTGCTGTTGTTGGTGGCCCAGTTACGCGCCGAGCATAACTTTACCCATAATAACAACGACGACGACGGACTCTCGCTTTCACACCAGACCCGACGGAATACAGAATGAAATATATATACACACACCTGTGTTCAGAATACTAGTTGTGGGTCTGGAAAAAAAAACCGACAAAAAATGTACTTCGTAGCAAAAAATGTATTTGCTTGTAAAGCTAATTTTTAAATAACTAGACATTTGTTTTGGGAACGTAACGAAATGATGGCAAAACATATATTATTTTAAGAGTACTTAAAACATGTTTGGCAATAAAACATATTTACAAATTCATTTGAAATAATCTTTAAACAAAGCAATATGTTACTTAAATAGAAAAAAAATTTTACAAAATTGCAGGGCCTTTTAATAACAATTGATTTGCTACTTAATTTGTTTTAAAGCAAGAAAATATAAATATTATTTTGAACACAGCTGTCTATATAGCCAGATAGTAGCTTGGGTTGGTTAATGCGCCGACTGCCGGTTGATATTTGTTGCCAATAAACAGAAACAGAAACCAACAAAAGAGCAACGATAATGCTTCATAAAAAATTGTTTAGAGCTTACGCAAAGCCAGGAAGTGGCAGGCACACTTAATACCCTGTTAAAATTATTGGGCTGAAGTTTAAGTTCAGTTTTCCATTAATATATCAATAACAGAATAATTGCATGAAACTTTATAAAGGTAATAACACATATTATTTTATAGTAAATGGCAAATATATTATTTACAATTGAAGTATCTGTAGCTTATACAGTATTTTATTTAAATAAAGACTGTTCTTTCATTTTAAAGGTTATTATTTTTATCTGCGATTCCAATCCCAACATTTATGGGGTATAACTGAGTTGGATTGCCCCCGATATTGCTGCCTTTTTGTTATTGTCTTGTCTACAAGCCACTTTTTTGTTACTTTAATTATTTACCATAAATTCACAGAGCAAGTGGCGTCCAAGAAAATGGAGAGAAGTTGGGGAAAAAAGTAAAGCAAGGCAAATTGTTGCACAACTAAATCGCATTTATTTAAAATTCCAGACCATTGCGAGCAGCGGCGTTCAACGAAAGGTATCAACGTGAAACAACAGCACAAATATTTTGCTTTGGCGGCAAATAAATATGTATGCAAACCGAAAGATCGGCTGGTTTGGTGGGGAAGTATTGAGGGGGAGGGGGTGATTTTCTAAGACCTGTAGAGCATGTCCCAAATTTAAAGATCGGGGGATACGGGGTCTTCAGGGGGTCCACGATATCCAGGGTAGTTCGCCCCCACAGTGACGCCTCGTGGCGGTTTTCCTTTAGTTCGTTGGTTCGTTGCCTCTCTGCCTTGTTGCCTTGTATTTTCCCGTCTCTGATTTTGGCCTGCGATAACCGAGTGACTTACTTTTCGCCATGTTAAGACCTCGATTCGGATTTTAATTTTGGCTTAGCTTCAGGTGCAGTTTTAAAATTATAAAAGTATAAGCAATCCGTAAATAACATAAATATGCCACAACAAAGACATTTACTAGATGAAAAATTATCATAAATATTATTTTTTATATATTTTATATTATGTTATATTACCGTTGGTTAATTTTTTTACTATTTTGTGTACTACGCTTTTATTAATCATAAATCAGTAACTAAAACCGTTAATAACATAAGCCGTAAATAAATACAAAGCCATTCACTTGATGAAAAATAATATTTTAAAATTCATAAAATGTACTTATTTTATATATTTTATAACTCTTATGTTAGTTAGAACACTGAATTTCCATTCAATTTCATCTTTATTAAGGAAATAAAACATTGGTTTAGTTAAATTGTTGTACTATTTTGCGTATTATGCTCTACTTAAACATAAATCAGTTAACAATGGCCGGCACTATTGAATGTTACAATCCACAAACCATTGCACCTTTCCATTCCTATCAATCATCGACCATCGCCGATTAACCTTCACTCCAATTCGGTGTGGTAGTTACGCCCAACGAAACTTACAACATTTTAATTCGGATCATTTTATGCGGTTACACAATTCCGTTCCACGGAAAATGTCTTTCTCCGCTCTAAATCCCTATATTAAAATGTATAGTTTTGATTATCATTTAAATATAATTTCGGGGCGGAATGACAGTTCGACTTGCTCCGCTACTTCTATTGTTCTTTGGCCAGCTATTAATTGGAGCACAGCGTTCGTTGACTTGTTCTGAAACCCTATACCAATTATCCACCCCCCAAAATAAATTCACAGAATTCTACCATCAGTTCTCATTTGAATTGCGCCGCGTTACGAAGTGTTGCGGAAATAAAATTGGTAAAATATACCGAAAATTAAGAACAGCCAGTGGAATGTCTGAGAAATAATTCAAAAATAACAAGAACAATTAGATAATGTTGAGCAAAAAAAACACGAACAGCGGGAAAAAAATGAATTGAGTCCAATTTAATCTATGACACCATCGCCCCAAACTGCTTTCAAATAAACTAATTAAATTTAAGTAAAGCAACAGGCGCAGCAACAACTAAGAATTATTTATTGCCAATAGCCAAAGACAACGACGTTGCCTTTCATTCAAAACACAAAAGCCTACGAGAAAAAAATATATAAGAAAGGCAGGCTTATTTGTTGGAACCGACTTGGAATACCCTTGAATTAGGTCTTGGTTTGGGAACTATGTAATAGATCACCACCTAAGCTAAACATTATTCAAAATAGATTTGTAAAAAATGAAGAGAGTTTTAATTTAATTTTGAATTGTATCTTATATTAAATTATTATACATTAACACATTAACAGATTCTTTGCTTGACTTTAGAAATTTTTTTTTGATTCTTAAATCTTTTTTGCATTTAAGCAAAATATAAGAAAACTATAGACATTTCTTCTTTAACTAAAATTTGGTTTATTCTTTTATTGTTTAGCAATAGAGGTCATTTAATATTTCTACATGAGTTTTAACTCCCTAAAGTTTTATTGAAAATTTTTCTTAATTTTTATACCGAATATTTTTAGAAATTAAGCCACTTTGTAGTACCCTCGATACCCTCGGTTATGAAAAATGCCTCCAAGTGGCTGGCGGCGACTCCAAGGCTTGGCCTGGAACGTGGTCGCCTCTATGACGAATCTCTGGTGGTGGCTCAGATCGGAACTCGGGGATCGGGGATCGGGGCTTGGGGAAACAGGCACTACAGGCACCGTTAGGCACCGACCACTGCGCACGCGAACAGTTTTCATTATTTACTGTTTATGATACTCTACGCCCATAGCGAACTATATAAAAGGGGTATACTGATAGTGCCATTAAAGTAATCAACTAAAAGCTATAATCGCAAATTTAAATGATCACAGAACCAAAATACCATTATACAAAATACCATGGTTTTGAATTTGCTTAATATTATTTAAGATTTGAACCGGTTCCAAATATAATTGGTAAGTTTTTTTTTAATTGACTACAAAAAGTAATTTCAACGATCAAAGATTCAAAATACTATACTTAAATGTGCTATATCTTATTCATTATTTGCACGTGTTTTATAATTAATTAGAGTTTTTTTTTAATTTAATTTTAAAATTTACTATTTGCTGTCTTTCTATATAATTTTCTGTTTGAGAAAGATTTTGTTTTTTATTGTATTGTATTAATAATTATGAAGTACCCTTTCAGGGTATCACGTGGTGGGTCGTGGTAGCAAGCAAATTTTTGTAGCTGGCTTTTTGTCTTAACTTCTTTTTTGATTGCCAAACAACAATTTGGCAGCCGCTGCCTCTGTGGTCGTTGCTAGTTGGTTCTACGAATAAAATAAAAATAAAAATAAAACCAAAATAAAGGCCGAAATTGGAGCGCAGTGGACAGGCGCAAGGCACACGATACAACGCATTCCTAGCGAAGTCCAGTCCCAGTCCAGTTTTAAGTTTTAAGTTTAGTTATAGCTTTGGACTCGGTTTCGGCTTCGGTTTCGGTTTTGGTTTAAGTTTCAGTTTCGGCTTCGAATCACGTTCCATTTGATTGTTTCGATTTTTTGTTTAGCCAGCATATTTATCTGCTTTTTTTGTTATTGCACTTTGCATTGTTTTTTTTTTCGGGGTTTGGCAACTGCGCCCAACAACAAAACTGCTTTAAGCTTGGCGCCTGCACTTGTGGGCGCCAATAAAAAAAATGGAAATATATATATGTACGAAAATGAAAAAGCCAGAAAAAAAAAAACGGTGAAAAAAAGTTTTCAACCTGTCGCGTTTTTGGTCAATTAGCCACGGCGCGTATGAGTAATGCCCAGCGACAAGAAGTCGAGAAAAATACAAAGACCAAAAGTAAAATGTTATTTATGATTCGATTTCTTCAAAGCTCTGTCCTTGATTTCGCTTTTGGCATTTTCGGGGCGTCGAAAGTGACGGGCCAAGTTGGCATCGAATTGTATTGGATTGTATTAAATTGATGGGTGGACAGGCCTAAGTTCTCTCGGCCATTCAAGTGGCGTACAAAATAGACATAAGCCGTCGTAAAGGTCTAATTGGAGGTGCACTTCAATTGACTGGTTTCCATAGGTTGTTCTCATATTTCGATGTCAGAAAAATGAATTGACTTTCGAATAATATGATTATTCATTATAAGATCTCTACAACTATTTGAAAAAAAGAAAAATTTTAAATTGTAAAGTGATATCTAGTTTAAAAATGAAAATATTCTTTTTATTCTTTATCAATGCCCCTAATATTTTAATAGCTAACTGACAACATTTTTCCCAATTGATTTTATTCGTCTTACACTTTGATTTAATTTTCTTATGTCATGATCATGAATTCTTCGCCTTTTCCTATTTTTAATTATGCAACCGAATGGCCAAAAAAATCACATTTCCACAACTTAAAATCGCACCCCTCTCTCTTTTCCCAACGATGCGCTCAAGTGCATCTGAAAAAAACGATTTTGACTTCAGGTTTTTTCGTTTGTCTTCTTTTTTTTTTGTGTTTGTTGCAAGCGACGCGTGCTCAAAACTTTACAGCGTGTTTTTGTTATTGTTATCTGCTCATTCATGTTAATTAACCGCTCGAAACAACAACAACAACGATTGCGATCGGTATTGCCATTTTTCGCTTTTTTTTTTTGCTATTTTCAATTGATTAACTGCCGAATCAGCTCGCTTTAAGCCATTGTTTGCAGTGACTTTTAGAGATAAAATCAGAGAGTATAATGTTGTGCCTTGAAGGGATAAAATTAACATGAGGCCAATAAATAAAAGGGAATTATCAAAACAATTGTACTCTAATTTAAGCAAACAAGAAGATGTCTTATTTATTAGTTTTATATAATCTGTTTATATGGTTAAGTTTGGAAATTACCTTTTTTAATATTGTTTTTTGTACTAATTGTACTAAAACGAAAAAAAAAATGTATTATCTTTAAATACATTTTATTATGCTTAAAGACTAACTTTACTGTACACCAACAACATCGTTAATTTTCCTGGAACTTAATAACACCCATTTCATTTTCTTGCTTTCCAGATGGCATCGTTAACCTTGCACTTGATAGTGATAGCTCTGCTGGCGTCGACTGCGCTGTCGACGGCGACGCGGCAGCGCGGCAGAATCGCCGCCTCTCAGGGGGAGGGCTTGGTGGTGGGCGGCCGGGGCACGGGGGGCGTGGCCAGCACGACCAGCACAGAGGCGCCAACGTTGCGGGCGCCACGTCAGCGTCGTCCGCCCACGACGCAATCGATTGATATGACGATAACGGTGAGTCCGGGTCATCGCAGTCGCGGTCGCAGCACAACGCCTCTGCCGCCGGTCACAATAACAACAACAACAGCAACAGCTAGACTGCTGCAGCGACGACGCAGCAGCACTTCCAGTACAACAACTACAACAACAAGCACAACAGCTGGAACACCTTTGGCTGGAAGAGCTTCCAGGGATCGTGGAAATGTGAGGGGGCCACGACAACCGAGGGATACACCGGTCTTGGGTGGCGATAGTATACGGCGCAGCTGGCAGCCCACCCCACCCACCGCCACCCCTTACTACGCCCACACGCCCACTTCCAATCCCACTTCCAGTTACAGTTCCAGCGACGCCGCGGCTAATGCCAGTGCCAGTCCGAGTTCCAGTTACAGCTCCACTTCCAGTCGTGGCGCCCTGAAAACGTGAGTGAGACCCTATTAAATAGGGAGTATATTGGTTGGTTTATTAAAGAGCAGAATGAACTAAAGGGTATTGCGTTTTACACCGTAAAATTAGTGGCATGTTGTAAGTTTATTGTTTATTGCAAATTAAACAAATTTTGTATTAAATTGTTCACTCATTAATAGGTTTTCTTTGTATAAGCATATCGTAAATATATTTTGTATGATATGTTATGGGAACACTTAAGGCTAAATATCAATAAGAGTAAGTTAAACAAATTTATTTTTTCATTGTTCACACATTGGTAGTTTTTATTTCTTTAGTATTTTTATATAAAATTTTATGTTAACATTTATAGCCTTTCAACATTGGAAGCAAATTTAAAAAAATGTTGTATTTAATTGTTCACACCTTTTTTTTTTGTGTATTTATTATTTTAAAGTATTTTAAATAATATGGTCAATTTGTTGTTGATGGTAATATTTATAGTATAATATCTATAGTTTTATTTGATTGTTCACACATTATTGGGTGTTTTTCTTTTCTTGGGAATTTTTATATGAAATAATGTAGAACTTAGTATCATATATAGCAAGCCAATTTCTTATTTGATTTTTAAAATGTGTGATATTCAATTTTCAATGACTTGTAGTAGTAGTTGTCTAAAAAAAAAGAAGTGGGGGTTTTTGATTTATCGAAGTTTGTAAAAGAACGGGAGAACTGTCATTACTAAAACGTAATTGAAAACGGATACGGTCATACGAAATTCCCAATTACCCTAATGTTAGTTAAAGGGTACTTCAGTCGTCGGTTCACCGAAGCCTCCTTTATTGTGGGTGCTGCTCTTTGATTTATGTGCCATGTCAGAGATGTGTCGCCCCGATAGCGTCTCACTCCCTGATAGCGCTGCTTTCCCATCCGATTTCGTTGACAGGCCGCGCATGATCCAGCGACTGGTGGCCGGTCACATCCACAATTCGCAGGGCCACTCCACCTACGAGGTGTCGGCGGTGAGCGCCAACAGTTCCACCACCAGCTATGGTCCTTCGAAGCCGGATAGGAGTACTTTCTCGACCACAACCACAACGACAACCACGACAACCACGACGACCACGCGGCAACCACCTGCGAGGGGCAAGGCTAGCAGCAGTTACAGACTGGCCAAGCCATCGACCAGGCCCAGATTGACCAGCACAGTGGCCACCACGAGGTTCAGCCATCCGCCGAGCAGCTCGAGATCTACCACGCCACTGCCACTGCCATCCAATACACCCAATCCCTACAGAGATGTGGACGACGATGAGGCTTTGCTTAACGAACCGGACGACTTCGACAACTGGGACAATGGCATCCTGCGGCTAAGTGCTGGCTCTGGCAAGGAAGCCGAGGCTCCCGCCAAGAAGCCGCCCAAGGAGGACGCAAAAAAGACGCTGGCCGACCAGGTGCGGGACGGCAAATATGGCATGATCGAAAAGGAGCTCTTCCGCCGCGTGCCCAAGCGACCGGGAGTGCTGAGCTACGCCCGCAATTCGGAGGTGCCGCTGGACAACGAACGCAACTACGGCGGTCTGAACGAGGAGGACATCTGGCTGGCCGAGGATCATCTGCTGGTGATCAAGGGCGGCGCTTTGAACGAGGAGGCCGAGGACAACCAGCACGGCCCGTGGCCGGCCATCGATGATTACGATGCGCCCGGGAGACAGATCAAGCTGCCGCCGAATCCAGCCGTGCCGCCTCCCTTTCCCGTGCAGCTCGAGCCGCACGGGCCGCTGCAGCTTATCCGAGATAATCAACTCGAGATCCTCCGTTCGGCGGCTGGCAATGCAACGCTATCCGCTAAGGCCGGCCACTACCAGAGCCACACAGGCACCGCCGCTGAAAATCTCGCATCGCATCCTGCTGCCCGGTCGGGAGCGGCTGCAGCATCTGCGCCAGCTTCCGCTGAGGCCCCTCAAACCCCGGCCTACGTCTATCCGGCGCCCTATGCCCCCTGGCTGCTCTACCCCAACGACACGGTGGCGTCCAAGGGCCTGCTAAGGAGTCCTCCGCTCCTCGGTCCCTGGCTGATCAATGGCCTCAATGGCAATGGCAATGGCAATGGCTCCCTGGCGGCGGACTCACCGTTGCCGGGCAATGTCAGTGACTTTGACGAGGACGATCCCTCACTGTACTATCCGCCGGCCTATACGTTCGTCTATAAGAGCAACTACTCGAATCCGGTGCCACCTGGACCACTGGTACCGGGCATAGTCCTGCCCCCGCCGCCCGATCACTTCAGTCGACTGGAGGTGACCAGCTCCTCCACCAGAAGACCCCCCAGCACCAGCAGCACCACCACCACAAGCAGTTCGACGACCAGTAGCACCAGCACCACCACTACCACCAGTAGTACTAGCACCACGAGCACCACCAGCCGGCCGCCAGTGCACCTGCCGCCCATCAGGACCTCCTATAAGCCCAAGTACAATGCCATCACCTACCTGCCGCCGCCACCCAGACAGAACTCACCCAAGTACGTGGAGCGAGTGCCCGTTCCGGTGGCCGTGCCCATACCCATCTACCCTGTCAACTACACGCCGCGACCGCCGCAAGCGCCGCAACTGGTCTTCGTGCCCAGCTCCACGGAGGGCAGCCGCCAGGAGCAGTCGCCGCTGGATCTGGATCCGCCGCTTTCCAAGTCCAACCCCATTTACTACGAGTACTTCGAGGCCAAGCGGCAGCCCGGCTCGATCAAGTCCAATGTCATTGACGACTTCCTGGCCACCAAGCCGCCCAAGAGGCATCATCACCATCACCATCAGCACACTGGCCACAGTCACCATCAGCGGGAGCATCTGCAGCACTACAAGGCGTCGCCGAGTCCGGCCAACGAGGTGGCCCCCGAGGTGGTCAACATCACGCCCAAGCCACGCACCGCCCAGCTGCAGCTCCACGCGGAGTACGAGGCCTCCTTGGGACAGCTGCTCAGGAGCAACCTCGTCTCGCCCCCGGGCGCCTCCAATGCGGGAAGATTCCAGGTACGTCTGGGGTTCATTATCGGCTTACTTACTTGCTAGCTTCAACACTTGCGATAGAATTATTATTACCCAATAAAAGATTAAAGTCGTCTAGTCAATGAAAAATATTTGGAACAGAGAAATATATATTTCTTTAGTTTTAAGCTTTCTTCAATGTTTAATTTAATTGTTGATCTCCATAAAATAGCCGATAATTAAATGGTTAATAAATGAAAAGCAATTTGCTATTTCTTTCAATTTGCAATTTAATTGCTTATATACATAAAACACGCAAAAACCAAGAAATAAAATTAATCGGTGGCAGTCAACCAAATAGGCGACATTAAGAAACAATATTTTTGTTCAATTTGCCATCATTGCGCCATCTATGATTAACTTCGGAAAGCTTTCGATAGTAAGACCATTTTCTGCCTTTACTATGACGAGTTCCCAATCAGCGAGCTTTTATCAGCCAACGAGTATCGTGCGTCATTAATGGCCTAAGTATAACCAGTTGTGCATTTAAATTTAAACAAATCTGAAAAAGTATGCTAAGGAAATATCAAGCTTTTAGTTGCTTAGCAGGAAGCTTAAGCCAAAACAGTCACTCTTGTGGCTCTACCTCTAATTTTGTCCATGTTACAACAAAAGGACGCTTTAGGAATATTTTAATTGTCAAATTTCCAAAAACCAAAAAAAATCAACTAAAATATCGGTTTTTGTATCAAAACCTTGGGAAAAAATGGTCACTAGATGGAATGTCATACATCGGCGAATTCGTCATTAAATTGCCATTCAAATGGCATTCTCAGTTAAAAATTTTTCAAATTTTCATATTATCGCAAAAAATGATGATGTACCCCCTTACAAAAAATCCAGAAACTTGGAAAAAAATAATTTTTTTTAAAAACGTCTTTCTAAATTCTGTTTTTGTGTCAAAACAAAATTTATTGTTTTAAATCGATCGGGGACGGATGGTATAGGTTGCTAGCTCTTCAAAATAGCAACTCTTTTGACTTTGGGTCTTATTTTGGCAAAGTTACAACAAAAAGACTCTTCAGAAATAATGTTGTTTGAAAAATCGCCAAAAATCCCAAAAAACACATTAAACTTGGTTTTTGTGTCAAAACCCCGGGAAATAATGGTCAAGTGTTAGAATGTCATACACCGTTGAATTCGTAATAAAATTTCCAATCGAATGGCATTAACAGTTGAAATTTTTTCAGATTTTCAAATTTCTGCAAAAATTGATGATGTACCCCCTTACAAAAAAGTCAGAAATTCGGAGATAAATAAATTTTTCAAAAAACGTCTTTCTAAATTCTGTTTTTGTGTCAAAACAAAATTTATTGTTTTAAATCGATCGGGGACGGATGGTATAGGTTGCTAGCTCTTCAAAATAGCAACTCTTTTGACTTTGGGTCTTATTTTGGCAAAGTTACAACAAAAAGACTCTTCAGAAATACTTTTGTTTGAAAAATCGCCAAAAATCCCAAAAAACACATTAAAAACTTGGTTTTTGTGTCAAAACCCTGGGAAATAATGGTCAAGTGTTAGAATGTCATACACCGTTGAATTCGTAATAAAATTTCCAATCGAATGGCATTAACAGTTGAAATTTTTTCAGAATTTCAAATTTCTGCAAAAATTGATGATGTACCCCCTTACAAAAAAGTCAGAAATTCGGACATAAATAAATTTTTCAAAAAACGTTTTTCAAAATTCGGTTTTTTGTCAAAATTAAATTAATTGTTTTCAATCGATCAGGGATGGATAATATAGGTTGCTAGCTGTTCAAAATAGCAACTCTTTTGACTTTGGGTCTTATTTTGGCAAAGTTACAACAAAAAGACTCTTCAGAAATAATTTTGTTTGAAAAATCGCCAAAAATCCCAAAAAACACATTAAAAACTTGGTTTTTGTGTCAAAACCCTGGGAAATAATGGTCAAGTGTTAGAATGTCATACACCGTTGAATTCGTAATAAAATTTCCAATCGAATGGCATTAACAGTTGAAATTTTTTCAGAATTTCAAATTTCTGCAAAAATTGATGATGTACCCCCTTACAAAAAAGTCAGAAATTCGGACATAAATAAATTTTTCAAAAAACGTTTTTCAAAATTCGGTTTTTTTGTCAAAATTAAATTAATTGTTTTCAATCGATCAGGGATGGATAATATAGGTTCCTAGCTGTTCAAAATAGCAACTCTTTTGACTTTGGGTCTTATTTTGGCAAACTTACAACAAAAAGACTCTTCAGAAATAATTTTATAATATAATATAAAATAATTAGAATGTCATACACCGTTGAATTCAAAAATGCAAAAATTGGTCAAAAAATTTATATTTCAAAAAATCGATTTTCAAAAGTCTTCTTACTGCAAAACTTAAAAATATATTATTTTCGTGATTTTAAAGTCTATATCTATTACGATTGCAGCCGCCCGACTTTGACAAGCAGCCCTTCCTGCCCATGGTGAACTACAGTGCGGATGAGCAGGACCAGAACGCGTTCAAGGCGATTGTCTACCAGCCCCCCAATCAGCGCCAACGTCATCTGCGCGTGGGCAAGCAGCATCAGCAGCTGCAGCTGCAGCTGGAGCCCAATTTGGAAGCCTTGCCACAGGATTCCTATCTGCCTGGACGCCAATACCGGGTGGGAAAGCAGCACCAGCAACACCAGCAACACCAGCAGCATCAGCAGCAGCAGCAGCTCAGCCACCAGCAGCTCTACGATCCCCATGCCCAGATCTACAGCACACCAGTGCCGCAGTTTGTGGAGGATCCGCAGCAATTGCGACCCCCGGCTCCGGTGCAATCCAATCCCCTGCAGTTCTGGCAACGACCTCCGCCGCAATTCAAGCGAGTTCGACCCAGCAGCAAGCAGGGTCATCCGCTTCCGCTTCCGCATCCTCACTATCCGCCGTACTATGTGCCCGGATATCCGAGTGGTCCGTCGGGGGCGAGCCGCTCTATCGACTGGTGCCGGTGACCCAGCACAAGCACTGGCGCAACAAGCAGCCGGTGCAGGTGCAATCGCAGCCCATTCAGGTGCAGCCCCAGCCGCAGCTGAATCAGGGCTATCCCGACCGGAGTGTGAACATTGGCCACAGCCTCGCGGGCGACATCCTCGTCAACTACAACACGAACAATCAGTTTAATCCGCAGGCGGAACTGGTGCCGCAGGCCCAGTTGGCGGCACCTCCTCCTCCGCCGCCGCCGCCGCTCTCCTACCAGGCCCAAAGTGGACAGCCATTGTGGTCCGAAAGGGAACGGGAACGCGAACGAGATCGGGACAGGGAGAGATCGGGGAGGCAGTCAAGGGAACAGCAGCAATAATGCTCTTACTACAATATCATAATCCGAATAATCATGTCGATAATGATGGTTTCTATGTCATTGATAAACGTAGTGTCAAAATGTGATCTATAGGGAGGCCAATCCGCTATCGAATCCCAGCCTAGACGATACGAAATGTGAAGCCGACGCCGACGACTTTCTTAGAAAAATGTGTATTTCTTTTTCACCTGTATCCCATTTCTTTGGGGTACTACTCAATGTGTGTAAACCTTAAACCCCATTAATGGTCTCATTTTCGCTATATCAACATATCCGAATCATTAATTGATCTTGTCCAAAATTTCAAGATATAACATTAATTTCTTTTTTTTATGGTTTATATTTCAAATCTGATTGTGTAGTTTGTTTTTTGTCCCTACCACTTTGACTTTTATTTTGCATCCAATTAACATTTTGCTTCCACTAACAAATAGTTACGTTATGTAGAGCTGGTCATTTAAGAGATAAACCCCGATTTTGGTCCTGCTGCCAACTTATCGATGGCTATCGTTAATCGATAAATATCGTATATTGCATATTGCTGACAGAGTTGCAACAAGCATACATACATATTTAATATATATATTTATACCATATATATGTAAGTACCTATATCCCTATGCGGTAAAAACATATATATATATATATTCACAAACCTATGTAAATAATAAACGAGTGTAGGCGCTACAGACACCACTTAGTCTTAGGGGCAGTAAATTACTTATATACATTATCGATATCTATAGGAACGAAGGTCGATTCGTTTAGCCTAAGCTATCTGTTTTATCCTGCACACACACACACACTATATGTATTATTTTTTTCTATTTATTGTAATCTGTTTTTGTATGTTTTCCAAAATCATTGCAAAACTTTGTATAAAAGCCATAACAACTAAGGTCACTATAAGTTAAAACCACGCTATGCAACTAATGAACACTGTGCGTTAATTATATCATTAGTTTGGATACCATACATATACATATACATTTTTTTTTTTGTTAATTTTAAACGAATAAAATAATTTGTAGACGCAAATTCTTATTATCAAAATAAAGCAAACCGAAAATAAACTTGTTTTTTTTGTTCGATATTGGTTCTGTTTTTCTAGGAAATTTTACCTATCAATATACTGTAGCAAAGGATTTTATAGCTATTTAATAAAATAATAAAGAAGCCTCCTTACCCTGCACTTTTATTGGAATAATAAATATTTATTATAATTGTATTACACTTTTTCTAAAATATTTTAAAATAAATGATAATAAATGTGGAGTTTTATATTTTTCTTATTAAGTTGAAAGTATTTGCTTTTTGAAAAAAAAAGATTTTTCAAAAGTTGCCTGCAACCTATTCTTGATTGCTATTTCCATTAGCTTAAAAACTACTACTATTATTTGGAGCGCAACTGTATCTGAGTAAACATTCATCTTTTGCTTTTTAATTACAATATTTGTTTGCTTGCAATATTTTCGATATGAAATTTCTCGATAATACTGCCTATCGATAGGCAACAGCTGGTAGGATGTAAACAACGGTATTTGCGCATGCGCAGGACAAAAAGAGAGCGGCAGAGCGGACCGAGAGAGGGAGTGAGAGAGAGCTTATGGGGTAGGAAGGACGAAAAATCGATGAAGGACTATCAGCAGGAAGCTCTAAGGAGCCGATTGACTTTGGGCCGTAAAATGATTACGGGCTAAAAGCTAAAAAACACGTCGCGCGAGAGCGAGAGAGGGCTAGAGAGCGAAAGAGTGCGAGAGAGAGAGGGGAACAAGGAGCAACAGCAACAGCAAGCTAAAATTGGGAAAAATACCTGCTAAAAAAAAAATAAAACATATATTCAATATAAAATTTCCAAAAATCTATAAAACAACAATAAAACCAGGAAAACTGCTGGGGCATTATAAAAAACAATCCAACGCCTTGGAAGCGTGTGTGTGTGTGTGTGTGTGTCATAACTCCTAAAAATTTCAAGCATACAGGAAAAAAAAGACGGGGAAAAGGAAACAGGAAAAAACCTAGTGAAAAAACCAAGGAGGAGCGTGTGGAAATCGCTGTGAAAATGGCAGTAAAAAAGGCAAAATGACCCCTACAAGCTGAATAAAAAATCGTTTAGCCATCAAATTGATTCAAACACACACGCACACACACACACACGCACTCAGAGGAGAGCTGAGAGACGAAGAGCACCCCCATTTTAAAGCGAAATCAGCAGCAGCAGCAGCAGGAGCACCACCAACAACCACCACCCCCCTTTGACAAGCAGCCGGCACCCACGCCCCTGCGACAAGCGTTTAAAAATAGCCACAGCTCTGGAAATCGAGTTTCCCTGGAGTATTGCCGTTCGAGAAAATGGTAACGATGAATTCGGAGGCGGACAAAACACAAGCCACCAATGCCAGCAGCCAAGCGGCGCCGGCGAAGACGGACTGCAGCAGCAGCAAGAGCAGCGATCCGCTGGCGGTGGCCATTTCGGAGGAGGCGCAATCCAGTGGAAATGGTAATGGTACCGCCATCGCCACCATCCCTTCGCCACTGCCCAATGGCAGTAATAATGGCGGTTTCCTGGACACCGAAGGATCAACGGTCCTGGCCAAGGAATCTCCAGCAGCAGCAGCAGCACCACCACCACCACCAGTACCCAAGGAAGTGACAGTGACAGTAACAGTAACGGCAACAGCAACAACGGCTTCCACGCCAGCAACCACCGCATCCACATCCACATCCTCATGCGCCGCAACCACATCCATATCCACCTCGACCACTTTGGGAGGTAAAACCGTTGCTGCCACCACCGCCACCACCTCCTCCTCCTCCTCGGCCACCTCTTCATCGACGGCGGCAGCGGCGGCGGCGGGTGGCAAGCAGAGCGGCGGTGGCGGCGGCGGCCTGTTGACTGTCAGCGGGAACCACCATCACCACCACCACAGCACCCACCCACAGCAGCAGTCGTCGGCGGGTCAGCAGTCGGCCTCCCAGCCGCCCACGCCGCCCACTTCATCGGCACTAGCGGTTCCCTCGGCATCATCGCACCATCAGCGCGGCGGCAAGAACGAAGATGCACCTAACATATTAGTGTACAAAAAGGTAAAATGGTTTTTATATTCACCCCGCACATTCCTGCGGTCAACTAAAACCACCAGCTGCCAACAAAAATAATTGATTTTACTCGTTATTTATGCACAGGAAAACCTACCTGCTGTATAATTACTTTAGATAGAAGAGTTTGAGTTATACAAAGTACGACTAAAGTAACGTTTTTCCAATAGTAATAGCTGACAACAAATAATATTTTTTAACTATAAAAAACCAGTGAACATTGATTACTTTTAAAAAATTAATTTAATTGCAAAATAAATAATGTATTTTAAATAAATAAACAAAGGTTTTTATTTATTTATGTATATTTTGTATTTAAAATGTTTAAAATTTACTAAAGCCCAAAAACTATTATTATATTTAACTATATTTGTACATCTATTAAACTGAAATTTATGAAAATCTGATCAAATTCTTATAAATTCTCTTTTATTTTTATCCAACAATTTTGTTAAAAAATGAGGCACTAATTAAACCACTTCCATGCGCAGATGGAGGCCATAATCGAGAAGATGCAGGCGGAGTCGACGGGCGTGGCCGTGCGCACGGTGAAGGCGTTCATGAGCAAGGTGCCGTCGGTGTTCACCGGAGCGGACCTGGTGGCCTGGATCCTCAAGAACTTCGACGTGGAGGACGTGACGGAGGCGCTGCACTTCGCCCACCTGCTCAGCTCGCACGGCTACATTTTCCCCATCGACGATCATGCGCTGACCGTCAAAAACGACGGCACCTTCTACAGGTAAGTGTGTAATAATTTCAAAATCTCATTGCCTCGGCAACAAATAAGAGTTCCTGGGACAGATTCCAGACACCCTACTTTTGGCCCTCGAACTGCTGGGAGCCCGAGAATACGGACTATGCCGTCTACCTCTGCAAGCGCACCATGCAGAACAAAACGCGACTCGAGTTGGCCGACTACGAGGCCGAGAATCTGGCCAAGCTGCAGAAGATGTTCTCCAGGAAATGGGAGTTTATATTTATGCAGGTCAGTTGCCAGGAAAATCATCATATTGATTTACTTATTTATATTTTATTGTGAAAAACATTGATTTCATTGAATTCAAAGTGATTTAAAGTTTCAATTCAATTGAGTACATAAGTTTGTATGAAGTTGATTGGAAAATCGAATTTTCTGTTAAATAAAAATATACCCGATTTATGCATTAATTGCATTAATTATTCTGTCGAATGAATTTTTATTTAAAAAAATAAATATTATTTGTCATTCAATGTTTTCCTGGAAAAATACATTCATTTCGGACGCGAAAAAATGAAACTTTTCCAGGAAATCCCCACGTATATTTTCTTTAGAATTTCCGTGACTACTTAAATTCCCCGAAGTAATTAAAATTCAGTCGAATTCGTGCCTTTAAATTTATCAAGTCGGATGCAAAATTGTATCTTTAAGCCGTTAAACAAGTTTTATTGTATAAAATATGGTTTTTGTTCATATTTTATTTCGAATGGTTTTTAATGAATTATTATAGACACTGTAATATTTTATAATATATAATATATTGTGTTTGAAATAAATTTAATTTTCAGGCCGAATCGCAGAGCAAGGTGGCCAAGAAGCGGGACAAGCTGGAGCGGAAGGTGCTGGACTCGCAGGAGCGGGCATTCTGGGATGTCCATCGACCGATGCCCGGCTGCGTCAACACCACCGAAATTGATATAAAGAAGGCTTATAGGCGGGGTGGCTCCAGCCATGGAACCGGATCCGCCGGCGCCTCCTTGGCCAAAAATCCCGTCGAGCAGTTGACCCGGATCATCGCCCTGCGCAAACAGAAGCTCGAGCGGCGGACAATCAAAGTGTCAAAGGCGGCCGAGGCGTAAGTATATTATATATATATATTATATATGTGTATGTAGTAATTTTATTAATTAATTTAAATTATTAATTTTCAACAGTTTGGTTGCCTACTACGATCAGTATAATGAGTTCGATTACTTTATAACCTCGCCGGAGCTGCCGAATCCTTGGCAAACGGACAGCACCGAGATGTGGGATACTGAGAAGAATAGGTGAGCTATTCAACTTAATGAATAATTGAAATAAATAAATAATTTATTAACTTCAACCCCACAGCAAAGAAGTTCCTGTGCGGCGCGTGAAGCGCTGGGCATTCAGTTTGCGCGAGTTGCTCAACGATGCGATCGGACGCGAGCAGTTCACCAAGTTTTTGGAGAAGGAGTACAGTGGCGAGAACCTCAAGTGAGTGCCAGAAACATATATTTAATATATTTAGGAAAATGTAGTAGTAAACCTAGAAATAAAGTTCTTTTATGGGCTTGTGAAAATAAGGTCAGGTGAAAAGCAAAAACAAAAATTAAAATAAATAAAAAACTTTTTGCAACTTTTTTTGGACTTACGACAATTTTCAACAATTTTTTTTTAATTTTTTGGAGTATACTTACATTTTTCACGCAAAATTAATGTTATTCAATTAGTTATACACCAGTAATAATTTATTACTATTAGGGATAGTGAAAAATCTGAAGTGCCCCGTTTTGTGCTGGCTAATAACATCCCTTCCAAATCCTTTGCAGATTCTGGGAATCGGTGCAGGAGATGAAGGCGCTGCCGCAGTCGGAGATCAAGGAGGCGATCCAGAAGATCTGGCAGGAGTTCCTGGCCCCCGACGCCCCCTGTCCGGTGAACGTGGACTCAAAGTCGGTGGAGCTGGCCCGCGAGGCGGTCAACTCGCCCGCTGGGCCCAATCGGTGGTGTTTCGACGTTGCCGCCTCCCACGTTTACCATTTGATGAAGAGCGACTCGTACTCCCGGTATCTGCGGTCCGACATGTACAAGGACTACCTGAACTGCTCGCGCAAGAAGATCAAGTCCATACCGAATCTGTTTGGGGTGAAACGTTGAGATACGCTGCGGGGATTCCCCGTCATCGCAGTCGGCTAGGACTGACGGCCTTTGGGCCAGGGGAATTACCAATTGTACCAATCATACTCACCCAGTTCGCACGTTACTTATTACTTAGTGTTATATATGTTATTTGATTTACTCTTAATGCCGCTGTGTCGCGTGCTCTACCGATTTTGAAGGCGTTTATTTTGTAAGTTTGATTGATTAGTTGTCAAATGATTATGTGTTACCCCCAAAGTGCCACCCCACCTCCCCACTCAGTACCCCTTACATAGTATCCATGTCGCTGTTTAGCTGGCTCTCTGTCTCCCTCTTAATCAGACGAAAAGGAAACACCACTTACGATGAAAATAAGAAACTGCCAAAGGCTTGAATAAGAACACACAAAATAACGAAACAAATACTGGAGGTTGGTCCAAATCAATGGAGATTTTAAAACAGTTGATTAACAGTAGCCTTTAATTTAAAACTAGGGAACTATTCCCCCACCGTAAAAAAACGTCTTGAAATGCCTAGACTAGCAGTTATTAATAATTCACATTTAGCAAACAAAAGTACACTCAATAATTGTTTTAAACTCTCTAGCGATTTTCTGTTAGGCCAACCTCAATTCAATAAACAACCGAAAGTGAAAAGATGAAAACGAAACACAACACCAACAACCGCCGAGACCTTATTCTCATATTCATAATATACAAACAAATACGAATTATTAATTATTAACCGAAAAGCAAATCAATTGTAATCGAAGACACCAAGAAAATATGAAGACAACTCAAGAGGAAACCATTAGTAATTGTCAACTGTAACCGAAAAACACCAAAAAAAAAAAACACGCAAGTGCAGAAAATCCCCAAACTTAAGAGGTATATTCAAATTAAGAGAATTAGCTTAAAAATAGAACGACATGGCGAAGCGATTCTTACTTAAATTTAAAGTTGAAAAACCAAACATGCCAGGCTGCTTTTGTCAGCATGCGTTGACATAGCATTCAGCTTTTCAGCCGACTAGCACGATTCCCCAATGAAACCCATCTGAAGAAATGTGAAAAATCGTTGACTTAAGTTCCTTTATCACCGTTATTGGGTGTCTCTTTTCGATGATCCTTCTCTCTCGCTCACACACACACACATACGCACACAGTAACCTGCATAGCCACAGACACACACTCACATATCGTTAAAGCGCCAAAAACAATGAAAACAAAAAAGATTTTAATCGAAAAACGTATTTTTTTTGTCGCTCACTGTGTGCTCCTTGGTGTGTGAGAGCAAAAGAGAGGGCAAATGGTTTTTTTTTTCTAGTGAATGTTAAGACTAAATTATGTTAATAATAGGCATTAAGTTAATAGCAGAAAGGATGGAAGGAAGAGAGTGCGAGAGCCAAGTTCGGGTGGGCAAAGGGGCGGTGAAATAGGATAGATAGGGTCAAAGGTGTGATAGCTTATAGGAAGTTAGATCAAAAACAAAAAACAAGTGAGCTTTACAAACAAATAAAGGGGCTACAAAACTAGGGAGACTTGAAAGCCTCAACGAACTTGGTTCTCTCGAAAATCTCTCCCAAACATTTTCGGATTGGACAAACGGGGTAAGCCTCGAAAATTTTACTAATACAGCTGCGGTCAAAGCCATAGTAGTACTGCCAAAGCAAACTATTAGACAAAAATATTATATTAAAACTTTTAAAAGCAATCATCTGCAAGTTTGCAATCTTAGAAGTTAACCCAAAGGCAAAAAAAAATGTTAAAAACCTTTAAATCTATTCTTTATGATTTCATGCAAACATTTGCTATTAAAAAACTTTTTTATATACACAACATACTTCCAAATTATAGTTTAACAAAATTTCAATAGAATATAGTTGCACAAAAAAACTAAACTAACAAATTTTTATTTTCATTATGATCATTAGATTTGTTAAATATATAATTTAAAATTGCTAGATCAACGTATTTAAATATTTTTTATTGTAAATAGAAATCTCTGCAAGAGGCTACATCAATTTATATTTTTTTTCCAAATGTGGCCATAGTACAATAGTTTTGACCGCAACTGTGTGATAGTTGGCGCAGCTATATATTTATGTGAAACATCAAACCGATCCTAGGATCTCTCGGAATAGCAATTAGACCTAGATAAACTAAGGAACTTGGAACTTGGAACTATACATACACATGTAATTTGCACACACACTCATGCACTCTACTGCCTTCTTTTGGGCTTAAAAATACAGTGGATACATAAATCAGAGGCGTATTAAAAGTATTTAATTAGGATCGCATTGTGTGTGTCTATCTAATTGTAACTGTAATTGTAATTGTAAATGGTGTCTACAAATTAACAAGCAAATAATAACTATAACTATACAAATAAAGTATGCAGAATTCAGTAAACGTAAAAGTTAAAGTAAAAGCAAAAGAAAATAAAGATTAACTTAAAGGGTAAAAGTAAAAATTATAAAGTACGATATATACCATATATCTCGATGTGCGTCTGTGTGTTGGTAGTGACAAATTTAAATCGATTTCAAAATAGCCAAAGCTAAAACTAGAAGAAGCAGGGAAACCCCTCGTCTCACACACATTGTCCTTTGGCTTTCTACTGTTTTCGTTTGCCAGATTATATATAATTACATATATGCATATAGGAACTGTTGGCCAACTGTTTTCCCCCTTTTACTGTTCCAACGCCCCCCCACCTAACGGAAATAACCATTAAATGTAGCGGAAACTATAAAAACTCTAACAAAATCGATGGAAAACTAAAGGTTAGATGAGGAAACATCCCACTTGATATGGAGAAAACTAATTAAATCAAATAATCAAAAAAAATATTCGATATATGTACGTGTACACAACAAACAACAGCAAAAACTTTTTAGGTTTAGCCAGCAGAAAACAAAAAAAAAAAAAATTTAAAAAACAACAACAAAAACAATAACTATTAAATAAACAAAAACATCTACAAGCAAGAAAACTACAAAAACACAAAAAGTGGCCGCGTTTATTGTAAATTGTTCAGCAAGAAAAACAAAAACCAAAGTAAAAAATTAAAAGCGCAATTAAGGCAACAAAAACACAAGTTACAAAATAAATTAATTTAATTGTGACACAAAACTAACTAAAACACAAACTTCAAAAAACCAACGAATGCGTTTTATTTATGATCGTATTGTAGTTAATTTTAAAGTTATTTGCAAATTTTAAGGAATTTACTGGCTTAATTAAAGTAAATTGCTAATTTTTTGTAATTTTACTTCGCTTTTGGCTGGAGATCTATAAATCAAAATTGTAAAGAGAAAAATGTCATATGCAGAACGAAACTTTAAATTTATCGCGTATTTTATCAAGACTCCACATAAATTCTATTAATATATTTATTTAATCAGTAACATTTTTTTCCCAAAAAAAAAAGTCCAATATAATTTAAAAAATACCCACTCCACATGGTCACACTTGATTATTTTGTCAAGGGAACTTTTTTGTGAGTGGTTTCATCAGTAGGAACTTTTCGTGAGTAGTCATAAAAGCAGGTGTTTTCTGTTGAAAATGGGTAAAGCCTCAAAACTGAAATTTGGGTTCTGCCAAACCCAAATCGGGTTGCGGGTGGCGAAACAACCACCCATTTACCATTGCTTATTTTTTGTTTTTTGTTTTCCATTTTTACCAGCGAGGTCTCGAGATAAGCCTAAGCAACAACGACTTCCCGTCCCGTAAAGCTATAAAAGCAATAAAGCTTTGCTGCCCCGTTATCAATTTGTCTCCCGGAATATGGCAATGGCTTATCTAATTTGCTTTGGCAGGGCTTTTTGGCCAAGTCAAGATACAGATACGAATGGCAGTGCTGACTGCGATGCAGGTACGGATACAGATACATTTAGAGATACAGATACAGATACAGAAGCATTGGACGTGACCAGCATTTTGCACAAGTTTTTTCCAAAGGGGATGCTTTCGGAAGGGGTGCGGGGTGAGGGGCAGGGGGTTGAGTTCCCGATCACGTTTTTGCTATAAAACCTTAAATGGGGACTGTGTCCCCTTCTCTATGCCCAGTTCTCTCCGTTCTGCCTACCTGAAAAAGAGTGTCGATCTGGAGTCATTGCACTGGTCATGTGTTCATCGAACTATCCACTTGTCCATTTATCTATATGACTATATGTCTTTATGGTAACGGTACGGCTCGATCACCGGCCTGCCATCTCCAACTCTCCAGGGTATCCAGGGTAATGGCAATTGTCTATTTGACGCCTCGTTCGGGGCATTGATAATCCATTGACCCACATTTATTTTAATTCCACCGATCACGAGTACGCGTACAATACAACACAAAACAATATTTGGATGACGCAATCGCGTTTTATTGTTCAAGTTTGGCAGATCAAAAAAATTAGTCTGATAACGGAAAAGGTAAGGTATAGTCAAGCTTCATATAGTCAACGATTAAGGGATCCTAAGATTAACAAATATTACAAATAAAATGAAAATTTTATATTATAAACAACTGTATTTAATATACTACCCTAAATAAATCGTCAATTATTTAAAAGCGAACAAGTTTGACACAAATTTTTAAAATCAACCCATTGAATAACAACTATTCCCATTTTAATATAAAAACCAAGTCGAACATTATATTTCAATGGAACTTGTTTTACGCTGCAAAAGAAACATGCATAATAAATTCTTTATCTTAAGCTTTTATTTGACACTTTTTTGCGTCTCAAACATTTTCATAGTAGCAGTGGCTCCTAGTGAATGTATAATTATTTTATTTGCAAAACGTGTAATCACCTTTTGGATCTACATAAGTCAATTCCTGAAACTAAGTTCCCCGCTAAGATGTTAAATCCCAGTCCACGATTAAAATAATACCCATAAACATTTCTAGGAGCCAACTATCCAAAAAAAGACACAATTAAATAATAGTAAGTGCAAATTTCACCACTTGCGCCGCGAAGAATGTGCGGATAAAGATAAAGATAAAGATAAAGGAGTGGGAAGATAAGAGTGCAGAAGACCAAAGACTGAAGAGGTGTCTTCTTATCATTATTTTTTGTTTTTTGTGTGTGCGTGTGCAGATCGTAAAGCTGGGACAACAACAACAAGCGTTGGCCCGTCGTCGCCTCAATGTGTCACATTGGCAATCAGATAACGATAACGGCATCTCTTATCACCAGGCTCCGGCTCCCGAGAAAGAGCGAGCGAGCGAGCGAGCACTAGAAATAAAAGAGCAGGAGAGCAAAGCATTGTGTAGAATTGCGAAGGCAGTCTTCGGCTCGCGTCACGATTCACATTTCGGGCCAGGCCGATGATCATCGGTGACCTAAAGTGTGCGAGAGGAAGAGAGCATAACTAGTTTCACAGATATACCCCTTAGAGATGCTGCTGGCTCGAACATTCCGACGTTGATCAGTGTATACTTGATTCAGAGTGGTACAAAATGATTTTTTGCGAAAATTGAAACACAAAAAAAAATGATCAGCTGTAAGTGCCAAACGAAAGGACGAGTTTAAAGAGGTATGTCATACCAAAATGTTATTTATTTAATTTCTCAGACATTCGATAAAAAATACCAAAATTTAATGTTTAATGTTGTTAAGGTTTTTTTTTTTCTGTGATCACAGCTTGCAGCATCTCTACTGCGAAGAATGGAGACCAGAGACCAGAGAGCGGAGAAGCATCTTCGCCAGTCCCAAAAACAGCAAGAGTAACAGCGCCAACGCAGACGCCACCGATTCCGAATCCGATTCCGATTCCGAATTCAAGCCGACGCCGGCAGAGGAAACCGAGGCACTTGGCAGAGGCAGACGTCGGCGATCTGGCAGTCGCTTCTCAGCATTCTTCGCCTCTGGTTCGACATTCAGTTCAGTTCTCTGACCCACACGATCAGATCAGCAAAATAAAGACCGAATAAAGACCGAGGAACAGGGGAACGAAAGACAGAAGACAGAATACAGCATCATACAGAAGACAGAATACAGAAGACGGAAAAAACTGAAAATAACAAAAATCCATTTCTATATACCCCCGAGATCGAGATCGAGATGTGTATATGAACGCAGTTCCTGCTCGTAGACTGGTCGTCCGTCCGCAGCCTCTCGTTGTGTTCCACAGTTCCACAGATCCACAGATCCGCAGCTCCAAAGTTCAGTGAAGTGGACAAAAACAAAAGAATCGAGGACGGGGAAATCCTGCGCGGGGAGGAAAGTATCGATCCACGATTTGTTGTAATGGTGCACAGGCGCTGGATTTTCTGTGAGAGCGGCGAGGATCCAAACTTCAGAAAGGAGCACTACGAGTATACCCAAAGCCAGCACCGATAAATATAAAATACCCGAAACACGAAGAAGTCCATTCAACTTGCTGCAATTACTTGTGCCAACGATCTCATTTGCCACCGCAAAATAATCAAAACATAACAACACACAAATAATCAAAATATAACAAAAAACGTATGAAAAACAATTGAAGCGCGTGCTTAATTTTCAATATAAAGAAAACAAAATTTCGGTGCTTTTTGTTTGTATTTTTTATTGTTTGGTTTTTGGTGTTCCTCAAATGTGAAGAGGAGAATTGCTAACCCAAAGCGAGAGAAAGAGTGCGTGAGACAGAGAGAAAATTTCATCGGCGGCCAGAAAAACATTTTCGAGTGAGTACACATAGAACAAATTCTTTTTTAAATATACATATCATTAGTTAGGAATTTAAAACTAAATTTAAATTTAAGCCTGGATAATTAAAAAAACCTATTATCTTATAATCCTTTTAAACGTCGTTCTCAAAATAAAAATTCCAGAGCAAGGATCAATGAGAATTTTCCATTTTAAAAACGTTTAGCTGGTCGCTACATATTTACGGCTGCTGATCAAATAAACAAAGTACTCGTATTTAATATTATCAAAAGGTTTTGTATAGGTCAAAAGTATAGTAAATTTAGATGACGTTCTCATTGAAAATTCTTATTGTTTATTATTTAAAATTTTACCTTTCCAATTTGCTTGAATTATTTTTCTAAAGCAAAGAATTTATGTTCTGTCTACATCACCTTTTATTTTTTGGAAATATTCTATATTATTTTCCCGAGTGTATGAAATGCCGACAAACATGTTTACCCCAAGTAACCCCCCAAAACCCCCTCTATTTCTAAGGCTATAAATAAAAGGCACAAAGTGGGAAGAGCCAAAGGAGCGAAAGGGACGGAAAAAAACTGATGTGCATATTTGTACTTGTCTTCTTTCTTTTTTCTAAGTGGGCCATGCAGTTTGGCAAAATTTTGAACTTTTATCGTACCGCTTGGAAAACAGGTGTCTTCATTTTCATCACTTATCAGGAATGTAACAAAGCAATATTTTGCAATTCCCTCGGAAAAAAAAGTAAACAAAAAATGGTTCCACACTTCCCAGTGTTTTTATTTCACAAAAACGAAATGAATCGTCAAGAGCAACACAAGATAAATACAATTTATTGATAGCAGACAAAAAAAATTAAATTTTTTTTCATCATTAGTTTCTATATATAGTATCGCTGTATACACACACTTCTTGCGCAGTCCAGCATGTGAAAAAAATAAAAAAAAAGAAAAAGAATAAAAGATGAACTAGCAGAACGAGCGAGGCACTTTTATTCCTACAACACGATGGCCACCAATTATTGTCAAAAACTTGACTACGTGACCAAACAGGAAATGTAGAAGTACAGAAGTGAAGTAGTGGGGAATCTTTTCTGGGGAAGCTTTCACTTCACAGGGGGTCACGAACCCCCTCCCTCGGCCCCCTGCAATTGAGTCAATCAAAAAGCATCGACAAACAAATTCTCCCCCATTCGCAATTAAGCGACACTCGGAGATCCGATCAATTAATACATTATTTTTGCCTCCCCATGGCATCGTCATCTCTTCATTTGTTTCTGGTTCATGTAAAGCACTTAAACATATAGATGCACCAATGGTCACAGTGGTGGCCAAGATAAGAGTACTTCTGCTTTAAAATAGCAGCCCCCTATTTACACCAAATAAAGCATAGTAGTATTAACAAAATATGTATCAAGAGATTATCACCTAATTAGTTTATTTTTGCTGCAACCTTTTTATATTTCTTATTTTAAATATTATTTAATTCAGTGCCTGTAAGAATTTGTTATGATATATGATGCAAACAAAGTTAAAAGAAAATTATTAAATTAAATGTTAAAAAAAAATAGTTAGTAATTTTCAATTATTTAGTTTATTAGTTCCTATTACATTGCCCGCTGCTGTGCTGCGTCTGATATATCCGATTCAGACTCCCTTGCAAAGTGGGCCAGACAATTCCCAAGAATTTGTTGCCTCTGTTTTTGTGGGCGTCAGTTTCGTCAAGTTTTTCTTTTTCTGCTTTAGTTTTTATGATTTTCTTGTCGCGGCAATTAAGGGAATTGTTGTGCTATGGTGTATGTGTGTGTTGTGCCGTATAGATTGCCACACATCGGATAATGGTGAGGGAGGTCGGAAATAACGTCCAAGGAATTTTAATTAGATTGTGCATTGTTCTGGGCTATAAGTGAAACTTTGGTAATAATGTTAAGTATTTGTTAAGAGTTTCCTGAAATAACAACGCTCTGTAAATTACACAAAAATCTAATCTTTAAAGTAATTTATTTTAAATTTATCATTAAAGACCTATTATACCTAACAACTTTTAAGTAAAAATAAATATTTTTGAAGTTTGTTTTGGGAATTGAAATTATGGTATATATATTTTTTGGGAAATTGAATTTACAATTTCCTAGAATGACCAAATCAAATTTTCTTATGTTCTATTTCATTAAGTAGTAATAAGCAATTGCTTGAAAATTTAAAACCGTTCATTTTTCGCTTGGAAAAATCTGAGAAACTCATATAAACATTGAACCTTCGCTTCTGGCGTTAGAATATACAATGAACATGATATCTCATGTAATCCGATGAAAATCTCCTCCCATTCGGTGCATTTTTTGTTTGCAACCAACAGTAAATCATTTTTCCCTGGCAACTAATGGGGAATTCTGTATGATAGCCACTGGCTAAAAAAAATTCCCACCGAGTAGATAGTACTATTACTACATCCATATCTTTGTGGCACTCTTAAGCTGCATTGTCCGCCTTATCGGGAGTTGATAAGCCCACCTAGAAGATGCCAGGCCAACAGCAAGCCCGGCCAATCTGGATATACATACTAACACAAGTATCTCGGGCACGGCTGAATCATATGGTATATCCATATGACGCATTTGCTCCAGAAAACAAATAGGGAAATTCACTCATCTACTGAGAATCATATACTTTTACGGCCTTGTTGTGGTTTTTGCGGCTTGGCTAATTCTTTGTAAATCTGGCATACTGGAGAGCATAAATAATGAAATGCGAAGGTCTTAAGAAAACAAGAACCGTAACCCTAAATGCGAAATTAGCAGGAATCAGAAGTGCAGTGCGCTCTAAAATAAAAAAAAAAAAAATTAAACTGAAGTCGAGTCATCAGAAATTCGATATGTTACATGTGGAACCGATAAGTGTTCTGGTGATCTCTGCACTTGGCTGATTTGTACTCCAATTGGGTTTCTGGGCCACTGCTGACGCTCGACTTGCGACCAAAGTCTCTCTTTTCAAAGTCAAGCTCAGCCGGTAATGTAATTGCTGGGGTTATATTTATACAATATCTGTCTATTCTAGCCACGATTTAGCTGCTTTCCTTTCTGGCTTTTCTTTCGATTTTTTTTTAGTTTTTTTGTGGGCGTTGCTGCCAGCTAATTTGTGCTTTTAGGCAATCATTTTTTATTTCCCCAGTCAGCTGACAATGTGCACATGCAACTGGTTAAGATACGTGTACTATATGCCCATATCACAGATTCAACGTGCCTTTAAATGTGCCTTTCAGGCCTTTCAACATCTGGTCAATGACTCGATCCGATTGTCGCCCTGACGCTGATGCAATTTGTGAATGGAAATATGAGAAAAATATTCCAAATTCAGATCACGTCACGTATTACTACGCATATCATCCCGGGGCCGGAAGTATATATCTATAAGATACGGAAGTGCAAGCCAAAGATTCACTTCTTGGAGTTGTATCTATTGAAGCTTTAAGAGATTTCCGATATTTCAAATAATTGAATATTGTTGTTCAGTAATGTGGTGTTCCATAAATCAAATTTAAATGGCAATTTTAATTTATTGTTTCTAAAGTGTATTGGGTAGCTAAAATACTTATCAGTGAAATAGCTTTTAACTTATTAAACTTACAATTTCCGTTGAATCCAAAAGTAAACACAAATCAGGACTCAAATAAGTTTATTGAATAATTTCTGGGTTGCAGAATTGTACGCAGAATGAAATTCGAGAGAAATAAGAACGAAAAACATGGATAAAGGTTAATGCGCCCCAATTTCTTACGCAAATCACTGTCGCAGTCGTCCCAAATTGGGTCCTCACCCAAAAAGCAAACTTTATAAATTAACAACAGCACTAAATCATTCAAATGAGGCGGCGGGAAACGGGAAAAAAAACGAGGACAATCAATGACAAACTCTTTACAACCGGTTTATATTTGAGCAAAGTCGGGGCGTTGTCTTATCAGTAAGGACTGATAATGGCTCTCCTCATGTGCGTATATATACGTATATATATCATATTTGCATTTGTCATATGATGCATCTGTATCTGAATCTATATGGACTGCAATTAAGTATATCTATTGTAAGCGACGAGGTCTCCGCCATTCATTCACCAGACGCAGTTGCAATTATAATTGCAAATTTCCATTGTCTGATTGGCGGGGTTTTCTTTCCCCCCCTTCCCCCCTTTTCCCCCTCCCTCTGGAAATTCGCCGCATTCCCTTGTGCAGAGATCTTAAGTATTGCAGCGTTAATCAAGACTTGTCGCCACGCTATCTATTCCCTGGTATCTCAACCAGAGTTCAGACAACTTTCAGATAAAGTTCAGAATATCAAAGGAGCAATGGCTTGCAACCGGTTTTGTAGATAAAGCCGGATGACAAGAACCTTATTAACTTGCCCGCTATCGTTATTTTCTTGTGCAATTACCACCTCTCCACTCCCTTTTCTTTATATCTCGCCTCGAAATGACAAAAAAAAATAAAGAAAAGATTTTTCTGCTTAGCTTTTCATTCCTGAACTGCAATTAAATGTTTGTGTGTTTGCTTGCTATCTCTTAATTTGTACAAGAAATGTGGGCATTTTATCTATAAACTAGATATACTTTGGCAGGAGTAAATATTTTTCGTAAAGAAGTCTAGGTTTTTGATTAAAATTTATTGATAAACAAATAAGGAACTGGTATTGTTACAATTGTAATTTTTTTTTTAATATGGAAAAGTAAACCTTGAACGATCAGTAAAAGTAAAGTTATTACAGGTTTAAGTTTACAAACAATAAACAATCAGTAAAAGTTAACTAATTGCAGGTTAGATGATACAGCTTTAGGGTAAAAGTAAGTTAGATAATTGGGAAAACTTATAGCAATAAAGTTTGACTGATTTGGAAAGTCAGTTTGCCAGCAGTGGGAATTATGCGGTTTCAGTGCTGAAATGTTTATTGTTGGCTTAGGCTTTAATTTCCCCATTACTTTTCCACCATTAAGGGTATGTCCAAAGTCCATCAAGCCCAGCTTTGGGGTTCTCAGCTGACAGCATACTCCGATTGTGCTATATGGTCATTTTTGCGGGACGCTTTTCCAGTCCGATTCCAACATTTGACCGGCCCAGATCGCCACGAATCGGTTTAAGCCCGACCAAGCTGGCTTTAATTCCCCATTGTGCCTTGTGTTTTCTTTACTCTCTTTGTTTTTGTTTGTGTTTGTGTTTTTGCTTTTGTTTTTTTTTTTTTTTAATTTTTTCATTTATTTCTTGCAAGTCAAGTCCAATGCTGAGTGTGTTAATTGACAGACGCCTTGGTAACCAATGTGCAAATAGTATGTTATTATTGAAACAAATAAATGTGTAAGAACGGCAAATAATCACGTGCCGCCCTTATCGCTCAAGTGAACTGGATTTCCCCCTTGCAGTTGGCATATTGATAAGAGCGATCTTTAATGAATTATCGCCCCTAGTTTAGCAAATCAAGTATACGCCTTGTGAGGCGACAATCCCACTTCATCTTGATTTTCGGTCTTATCTCGAGTCGGTGTAAAAAAACACAACCATAAAGTTCTCCCCTCGCAAAACAACACCACAAATAACATGCACATAAATTACAAACTATATAAAGAAAAAAAAACAAAACATATATAAATAGATATAAATTAAATGTAAACAGCCGGTTTTTGTTTACTCAATGATTAAATTGAAAAAAGAAGCAAGCGAATGAAATAGTATTAATTTCCAGTCAAGAAAAAATTCAAAACATTCATTAGATGTTTGAGGAAAGATCGAAGTTCTCTAAAACAAATTATACAACAATGTGTTAAAGCAATTAATACAAATTAATTGGAATGTTAACCCTCGGTTTTAATCATCGTTAAAATTATATTAACATGTTAAATAGATAGGAATAATGCTGGAACTTAATTTTTAGTATGTAAGGGTTGATTATCTAAATAAATTATTACATAATACTGATCAAAACTTTTTTTTTAAAGAAATTTTTAATTATGTATTCGCATTTTCCTCATCATAACCACCCTCAACAGATAGATGGCTGCAAAATCAAAGACTGCTACAAAAACTAAACTCATATGTCACACTCAAATCATTGAATAAATATGCTAGCAATAACAATTCAAAGACAGTTATAAATTAACCAATTGATATCAATAAAAACAAAATAGAGAGCGAAGAAAGAGCGAAATATCGAAATGCGCCCCGTATACGACTTGTTGCTGAGCAACGCCTTTGATCCCAGGTATGAGTAGTATTCGCCATATATAGATATATCGATACATAGATATATAGACCACAATCCCAAACACAATCACGGACATACACACACAAACACACACACACACAAATAGGCATTGGAATATGATACATCTTGCCCGGTAATTGAATGCTAACCAATGTTAATTGGACTCCAAACGAGAATGCTTAGCAAATATTTGGTTTCCACCGTCTGCGCCTCACTGACGCAGTTGATTTTATTGGGAAGGCAGGGGCGTTTTATCAAATGTTTATTATATTATTAACCCAATGCGATATACGCAAAATATTTGCCAAACAAATCGAAAACAGCAATTAAGCAGGAAAGTGTTCGTTCGCGTAATTGTGGAAAAGCATTAGAGTCCTATACTCCGATAATACGGCTGTATTTTAAAACTAACTATGATCCAGTTCTATACGTAATAATTCTTGTTTTCTTATAAGAATATATGTGTAAATAAGACTTCTTAAGCAGTATCAAGTTCTGGTAATCTACCAACCTTAGGTGTTAATAAAAATTATGAAATTGGCCTAATCGTATGCTGAAAAGAATAACCCATTGTCTCAGCGATTATAGTTCGCGATCGAAACCGATTCCACTGCCAAACTCTCATGCCTATTCATTGGGGATTAACAATTGAGCCCCCAATTATCCACTATTCCCATCGAATAAACATGAATCGCTAGGCTCCGCACGGAGAAAAAAAACCTTATAATATTAGGTGTTCTCAGATTAGGCTTAATCATATAAATATATATTAACTTAAGTTCCCCCGAAATTTCGAAGTAAGTTGAGCCAGTTTCTAAAATTTCTTAACTTTTTACAGGAATTTTCTCAATTATTAATACTTTTGAAAATCTAAGACTATGTCAAAATACTAGACTACAATTGATCTCTTCCTGTTTGAATATGCTTTTAAGTTCCTTAAATAGCTAAACATTTTATAGGGATTTTCTATAATATTATATTTATAGAATATCTGAAATAATATCGAAATCTTAAGAAACAAAATCTCTTTCTTTTGTAGTATGATGTTTCTTACTTAAATTGACAAGAATTGTAAAGTAATATTGCTAAACATTTTTAGTCTTTAAAATCTAAAATAATACCGAAATAACCAGAAACATATGGTCTTTTGCTTTTGATGTATGATGTTAATTTGCTAGAATGTTATAGAGATTTTCTAAATTGTTATTATTCTTGAAATAGCAAAATGTATTGCCTTTGAAGTTTAATGTTATTCTAGAGCAATTTGTTTAATTTTTTTCCCTGTGTAACCCTGAGTTTTCTTTGGTTTTCCAGAATGGTGCTTCAGAACCACAACACAGTGGTGGCCCGCTCCACATTGACGCCGAACAGCAGCAGCCAGAACTTTGGCTCCCATTCGCTGGGCCACCACGGCGGATCGACCCATGGATCCGGACGGAGTCCTTTGAACGCCGGACCCAGCACCCAGCGTCCCATTGTGGACCTGCTGGTGGCCATGGTGGCCGTACCCGTGCTGATCCTGTGCGCCCTGCAGCTGGAAAAGAATCTGAGGGACAATACTGCGGAGTCACGCTGGCTGGTCTTCGCACTTGGCATCGGGATGCTGTTTATCAGCGTGATCATCTGCGGTTATGTCACGCACCGCATGGGCGTCTGCATTTGGGCGGGACCCATCGATGAGGCGGGAAATCGGGCCACAAATGGAGCCATACCACATGTGAGTACCAACAAAGATTTACAAATTACAAATTTCATACAAATTATCGAGGATACCACAAGTTGTTTATATTTATTTCTATGAAAATGTGGAGTTTCCTTACTAAAGCATAGGAAGTCTTGTTAAACAAAAAATCGTTACCTTAAGAAGCTATTAATTTATATACAATTTTTTAAAAAGCATGGAAACTTCAATCTGTCTTCTAATTTTAAAACCTCGTATTTTATGGAAACCCATTTGCTAATCCTCACATACTTTCCAGATCAACTCGCAGAACGATGTGCTGCGTATTGTGGACTCACTGCCGCCGAGTTACGATAGTGTGGTCAAGTACGAGCTGCCGCCGCCGGCCTACGACTGTTTGGTGATAGACATGGACCAGTCCAAGGATCTGGAGCCACCGCAGAGCTCCACCAAGCCGGGAGCCGGAGGATCCACCTCCCCACCCGGAGCCACACTGCACATTTAGGGAGAGGGGAGGATGAGCCACGGGAGCACTAGGAGGAGGAGAGAGAATTAAGAGATTTTTTCCCAATTGGCAGCGCAACGGATTTCTGTACTTGACCCACTTAAGAACCACACGCAATCAAATCTATACCTACGATTTCGATACGTGGTATTCAGGCAACTCTAGTGTCTTGCAAATACTACACACAACACAAAACACAAAACTGAAATGTTTTAGAATTCCTAGAGCCTACTGCTGAATACCGCCATATATCCGTATATCTATTGTAAAGTTTGGCTAACTGGTAGCTTGGCAGCAAAGCATTATGGCATTGTATTTACTTTGATTTTAAGCAGCTAGTATTTTAACTCGTAGAGTCCCTCGATTCTCCCGCATTGTACATAGAGTTCTTTGAAACACAGCATCTAGTCCAAAGTTGTATATAGCCGAACAAGAAATAACTAAACCACATGATGCGCCCACACAAAACTTTTAAATATATATATAATATATAATATATAAAAATATATATATATATACTTAGTGAATGCCAAGGCAAGGCGGGGATCAAACTACAAAACTACAGGGTAGCACATAGTCTTAGTCTTAGCCTAACGCCTGTAAATAATTATATATATTACGATTACAAATATTATTATAGCCATAACGATTGCCAACAAATGTAGGAAAACGTTCAGTGTTGCTTTCCAGAAATAAAGAATTCCTATTAAGTTTATTGAAATCCAACGAAAAAGTCTTGCATCTTTTGGGGGAACTAAAAAAGAATTCCCAGGAAAACACTTTAATGCATACTTTTGGGTTTATTCGGTTATGCATTAGAAAAGATATTTACGGAGATACCATTAGTCTCATAAATAAACAATGAAGGATAGCTTTCCATTTTTATACCCTTGCAGAGGGTATTATAATTTCAGTCAGAAGTTTGCAACGCAGTGAAGGAGACGTTTCCGACCCTATAAAGTATATATATTCTTGATCAGCATCACTAGTAGAGTCGATCTAGCCATGTCCGTCTGTCCGTCCGTCTGTCCGTCCGTCTGTCCGTCCGTCTGTCCGTCTGTCCGTCTGTCCGTCTGTCCGTCCGTTTATATGCAAACTAGTCTCTCAGTTTTAAAGCTATCTGCATGAAACTTTCCCAAAAGTTGTCTTTCTATTGCAGGTAGTATATAAGTCGGAACGAGCCGGATCGGACGACTATAGCATATAGCTCCCATAGGAACAATCGGAAAAATAAATGAAAAAAATTATAACTTTGCTGTTTTTTAATTTTTTGTTTAGTTCTTCGACATATAGTAATGGTTAAATATTTCCGATTTACGGTTTAAATTTCATCAAAATCGGTCGACTATAGCATATAGCTCCCATAGGAACAATCGGAAAAATAAATGAAAAAAAATTATAACTTTGCTGTTTTTTAATTTTTTGTTTCGTTCTTCGAGATATAGTAATGGTTAAATATTTCAGAATTATGTTTTAAATTTCATCAAAATCGGACGACTATAGCATATAGCTCCCATAGGAACAATCGGAAAAATAAATGAAAAAAAATTATAACTTTTCTGTTTTTTAATTTTTTGTTTAGTTCTTCGACATATAGCAATGTTTAATTATTTCAGAATTATGTTTTAAATTTTATCAAAATCGGACGTCTATAGCATATAGCTCCCATAGAAATAATAAAAATATATAAAATAACTATCTAATAATTGAGCTGCAAATCATCATAGCTTCACTGTTTTTCAGTATATACTCAAGTAAATCATAATTTAAATGTTTTCAAAAGTATTTAATTCATGCAATAGCTGCAAGGGTATATGAACTTCGGCTTGCCGAAGTTTGCTTTCTTTCTTGTTCTGTTTCATTTATGATTCCATTCAAAAATGGTCTCAATAATAGACAGTGAAATATTATATTTTTTAGTTTAGACTTTTTGGTTGTCTAATCTTTTCAGTTTAATTACACAGAAATTTTTATTTGTTTGATTATTTTCTAAGATGTTATTACCTTGAGTACAAATGTACAATAAAAGTCTAAATATTCTTTATCAGCATCTTTTTAAGTCATTTAATCTTTGGAATTAAATTTTTCCTGTATAATAAATTGGACATATATTTAAATGATTTAAGTTGTACATTGTTCAGTACAATTTTGGTAAATCCAAATATGTTAAATATTTTCTAATCATGTAATATCTTTTAGATAAGCTTATAATTTTACTGCATTCAATAGTAAATAGTCACTATCAGCTTATTTTAGTAGTCAAAAAGCCAACAAACTTGGGTGTCCATCAACAAAAAAAAATTTAAAATTAAAAGTGTAAGTGTAAGTGTAAGTGAAACTAATATTTAAAGATTCGCTTTGTTGGTTTTCTGTTGGTTTTTATTGTATAAGGTAGTAGTTAGGTAGTAGCATATAAATTTATATAACGTACGATATACATAGTATGTAAAAAAGACATAGCTAGCTTAAATACTTTTCCATTGATGCGAATCGATCTGCTTCAGCAGGCCTGCCCATTAATTTGCTCGCGTTCCATGGAAATTGCTCTCTTTTCGGGCCGATCCTGTTCTCTAATCTCAATGCAGTGCGTGGGTGTGTGTGAGTCTGTGTGTGAGAGTGTGTGTGTGTGCGTGCGACGTATGGGTGAGTGGTAAGTGAGTGGGTTGATTGATGAGTTAGTGAACTGCGTGCACATCCTAGAACCCTGCAACTCCGCCGCGCTTGCGATAGTCGGCATTCGCATAGATGGCCGTGGCATTCCGCGAAATGGCCGTGACCACCGATCCCGCGAGCCTGGAGATGGCCTTCAACGTGTGACCCCGCTGGGCCAGCAGCTGCAGCAGGGACTCCGAGAAGCCACCCTCCTCGTATTCCAGCACATCGGGCAGCAGCTGATGGTAGAACCGGGGTGCAGTGACCGCCTTCCGCAGATCTTGGTCGAACCACAGCACATTGGCGGCCACCTCCACCACGGCGGGAATGATCTTGCTGCCTCCGGCCGCTCCGATCACCATTCGGATGTTGCCCAGACTGTCCGCCAGCAGGACTGGCGATTGCGAGGACATCGCCCGCTTGTGGCCCTCAATCACATTGGCCGGCGACGGCGGCAGCCCGAAAAAGTTGTTCGCCACGGCAAAGTCGTTCATTCCATTGTTCAGCACGATGCCCGTACGTGTGCCAATCAGTCCGGAGCCAAAACTGAAAAGTAAAATATATGTTTACTTTATAACATATTGATTGTTTTTTACTTTAGAACATTTCCAGTTATATACTAAATATATGATCAAAGCTACACCAAAACAAAAATTGTAAAAAAAACAAAAACTATTGTTATATGAATTTTATATATTGATTTCTATATAACATAAGTATTAAATTAATACCACGAAAGTATTAAAATAAAACTTATGAACTATCGATTAAATTGTTTTTTTTTTCAAAAAACGGTTATTGAGCTGTAAGCTATATCTTTTCAGAGTAATTTAAAAAACCGTTACATTATGTTTACCATTTTTGGAATTATTGGTTAATTATTAGTTTTCAGTATATCATGTAACATTTTAGAAACATTTTAACTAAATAAAATGATGGTTTAAATATTCAATTTCAGAAAACGCTTGCTGGCGAGTACTCTTTTAAGTAATTTTTAAATTTCAGATGGACTTTAATATATTTATCAACTATATTCAGGTCTAATGATATTAACACCAAACATTACTTAAATTAAAAATTAAATGTTAAGATTTGCTTATGCAAATCAACTTTTCGATTCGATTTACTCACTAGGAATTAATGGAGCTGGTCACCGAGACGGCATCCCCGTTGGGTGCCAAAACACATAGATGCGATGTGCCATCGGGGTCCTCGATGGAGCCGAACTCGGCACCGTACGACTGGTGATTGGGCAGGACATGGGAGTCGTTGATCTTGGCCCGGTTCTCTTCGCCAAACTCGCGACTATTCAGCTTGCTGACCAGCTCTCGGGCATCAACGAAATGCATGTCGCCCAGTTCCGAGCGCTTGGCGAAGGCGAACTTCATGGCCTCGGCAAATCGGTGGATGGTGCGGGCCCTCAACTCCTCGGTGGCCAGATCCTGATTCGAAAAGTTATAGCCCTGCAAAATGCTCAAGACGTGGGCCACCAACGAACCGGAACTGACCGGTGGTGCCACATACAGGGTATCCTCGCCCAAGTCCATGGTGATGGAATCGATCACATCGGCCTCGTAGAACTCAAGATCATCGGACGAAATAATGCTGCCCATGTCCTCCAGATCCTTGGCCAGCAACTTGGCCGCCGTTCCATTGTACAGGTCCATGGGTCCGTTCTCGGCAAGAAGTTTGTACGTATTGCAGAGATTCTTTGGCGGCTTCACCACCGTTCCGGCCACATGCGGCTTGCCCGTCTTCGCATTTAGATAGATCCTGTGAAAAAAAGTCAAAGGTCAAAGGTCAAGATTAAATTATAGGTATGTACATTTTCAAGTGGATTTAGAGACTCACTGATACTGCTCATGTTCCTTGATGTACGGCAGTGCAGCTGCCAGAGACCGTTCCATGTGCTGCGACACATGGTATCCCTTCTCACAGAGCTCCAGCGATGGTGCCACCAGGTCCGCCCACGGAAGTTTGCCGAATCTCTGGTGCGCCACATGGTAACCCATCGCCTCGCCGGGCACACCGATGCTCAGCGGTCCCTTGTACGACTTTTCCGGCTCCTGGGCGAACATGTCTCCCTCGGAGGCATACGGTGCCACCTCGCGGGCATCGATGGTGGTGGCGTGCCGCTCCTTCCGGTTATACACGTTCATCAGGTGGCCACCGCCGATGCCCAGGCTCTGAAGGGTCAGCAGTCCGTTGCAAAGGAGCGCTGCGATCGCCGCGTCCACCGCGCTGCCATTTTTCTGAAGGATTCCGCTACAAGAAAGAAAATATATATATTCTTTACTTAGCCCTCCAATTCTGGGGTCTAGATTTTTAAAAATTCGGTTTTTTTGTAAAAACTAAATTTATTTTATTTCGATCGATCAGGGATAGATGGTTTGGGTTGCCAGCTGTTCAAAATAGCAACTCTTTTGACTTTGGGTCTTATTTTGGCAAAGTTACAACAAGAAGACTCTTCAGAAATAATTTTGTTTGAAAAATCGCCAAAAATCCCAAAAAACACATTAAAAACTTGGTTTTTGTGTCAAAACCCCGGGAAATAATGGTCAAGTGTTAGAATGTCATACACCGTTGAATTCGTAATAAAATTTCCAATCGAATGGCATTAACAGTTGAAATTTTGTCAGATTTTCAAATTTCTGCAAAAATTGATGATGTACCCCCTTACAAAAAAGTCAGAAATGCGGACATAAATCAATTTTTCAAAAAACGTTTTTCAAAATTCGGTTTTTTTGTCAAAATTAAATTAATTGTTTTCAATCGATCAGGGATGGATAATATAGGTTGCTAGCTGTTCAAAATAGCAACTCTTTTGACTTTGGGTCTTATTTTGGCAAAGTTACAACAAGAAGACTCTTCAGAAATAATTTTGTTTGAAAAATCGCCAAAAATCCCAAAAAACACATTAAAAACTTGGTTTTTGTGTCAAAACCCTGGGAAATAATGGTCAAATATTAGAATGTCATACACCGTTGAATTCGTAATAAAATTTCCAATCGAATGGCATTAACAGTTGAAATTTTTTCAGATTTTCAAATTTCTGCAAAAATTGATGATGTACCCCCTTACAAAAAAGTCAGAAATGCGGACATAAATCAATTTTTCAAAAAACGTTTTTCAAAATTCGGTTTTTTTGTCAAAATTAAATTAATTGTTTTCAATCGATCAGGGATGGATAATATAGGTTGCTAGCTGTTCAAAATAGCAACTCTTTTGACTTTGGGTCTTATTTTGGCAAAGTTACAACAAAAAGACTCTTCAGAAATAATTTTGTTTGAAAAATCGCCAAAAATCCCAAAAAACACATTAAAAACTTGGTTTTTGTGTCAAAACCCTGGGAAATAATGGTCAAATATTAGAATGTCATACACCGTTGAATTCGTAATAAAATTTCCAATCGAATGGCATTAACAGTTGAAATTTTTTCATATTTTCAAATTTCTGCAAAAATTGATGATGTACCCCCTTATAAAAAAGTCAGAAATTCGGACATAAATAAATTTTTCAAAAAACGTTTTTCAAAATTCGGTTTTTTTTGTCAAAATTAAATTAATTGTTTTCAATCGATCAGGGATGGATAATATAGGTTGCTAGCTGTTCAAAATAGCAACTCTTTTGACTTTAGGTCTTATTTTGGCAAAGTTACAACAAAAAGACTCTTCAGAAATAATTTTGTTTGAAAAATCGCCAAAAATCCCAAAAAACACATTAAAAACTTGGTTTTTGTGTCAAAACCCTGGGAAATAATGGTCAAATATTAGAATGTCATACACCGTTGAATTCGTAATAAAATTTCCAATCGAATGGCATTAACAGTTGAAATTTTTTCAGATTTTCAAATTTCTGCAAAAATTGATGATGTACCCCCTTACAAAAAAGTCAGAAATTCGGACATAAATAAATTTTTCAAAAAACGTTTTTCAAAATTCGGTTTTTTTGTCAAAATTAAATTAATTGTTTTCAATCGATCAGGGATGGATAATATAGGTTGCTAGCTGTTCAAAATAGCAACTCTTTTGACTTTGGGTCTTATTTTGGCAAAGTTACAACAAAAAGACTCTTCAGAAATAATTTTGTTTGGAAAATCGCCAAAAATCCCAAAAAACACATTAAAAACTTGGTTTTTGTGTCAAAACCCTGGGAAATAATGGTCAAATATTAGAATGTCATACACCGTTGAATTCGTAATAAAATTTCCAATCGAATGGCATTAACAGTTGAAATTTTTTCATATTTTCAAATTTCTGCAAAAATTGATGATGTACCCCCTTATAAAAAAGTCAGAAATTCGGACATAAATAAATTTTTCAAAAAACGTTTTTCAAAATTCGGTTTTTTTGTCAAAATTAAATTAATTGTTTTCAATCGATCAGGGATGGATAATATAGGTTGCTAGCTGTTCAAAATAGCAACTCTTTTGACTTTAGGTCTTATTTTGGCAAAGTTACAACAAAAAGACTCTTCAGAAATAATTTTGTTTGAAAAATCGCCAAAAATCCCAAAAAACACATTAAAAACTTGGTTTTTGTGTCAAAACCCTGGGAAATAATGGTCAAGTGTTAGAATGTCATAACACGTTGAATTCGTTATAAAATTTCCAATCGAATGGCATTCACAGTTAATTAATTTTTTAATTTTTTCAGATTTTCGAATTTCTGCAAAAAAAAAATTTGGAATAGTTTCAATTCCATACCGAAGTCTAAGACCTTATTTCTTAACCACATAAGTCAATTTAATACTCATCTTATTGAGAAATTGTTCATAATTTAGTCTCTATGACAATTTTTTGTTGGGTGTTGGCATACGATTCCCTTACCTTCCGATCTTGCTGCACTCGAGGTTGTCGGAGCTCACTGCTCCATGTTGGTACACACCGAGGACCGACTCGAACTGCTCGCTGGTGTCGATTTTGATCTGGTTTGCCAGCCAGGCGGGTGGTCCCGCAGTGGTTGCCGCCGTGGAGGCGACCACATTGGGCAGGGCGTCCTCCGCCGGAGTGCTGGCCGTGTTCGACGAGGATCCTTGGTTCAGGTTGCCAATACTTTCCGTTTCCACTTCCTGTTGCTGCTGCTCATCTGTTAAATGAAATGTTTTAAGTGTGGGGCTGGGATTGCTATCTGTTCTGCTTGTTGTTGTTGTTGTTGTTGGTGGTGGTTGTGGTGTACTTGTTGCTGTTGTTCTTGTTGTTGTGGTGGTGGTGGTGGTGGAGGTGGTGGTGCTTATTGTTGTTGCAGTTGCAGATGGTGCAATTGTTGCTGCTGTTGCCGGTGATAACGGTGCTAGACTACTTGCAATTTCTGTTGCTGCTGCTGTTGCAATTGCAATTTCTGTTGCTGTTGCTTTTGCTGCTGTTGTTGTTGCCTCTGTGCTTGTTGATGTTGTCGTTGTCGCTGTTGTTGTTGTTGTTGTGATGTTTCTATTTGGCGTCGATTTTGGCCAGTCTTCGTTGTTGTTGTTGTTGTAGTTGTTGTTTAGTGAGTTAGGGTGTAAAGTTTTTGGTTTGGGTTTTGTTCATGTGAATACTTTTTGGTGCCACAATAGAAGAAATTATTTTGAACTAGATTAAATGCCAGGTGCTTGGTTAAGATGGATCGAAAGCATGCAGAAAATAAGCAGTTTGTATATATTTTTCTATTTTTTTTTTTTTTTTTGGGTGCCTAACAAAGTTCGGTCCCAAGTTTTAAAAGTCTATAGTGTGATATATAATACATCTAATATACAACATATTTGACAACGATTTTGGTTTTAGTTTGCAGTGGGTGAGTGAATTGTTAGCTGGATGTGGTTGGCTATATTCCTTGCCCGATTTCCCATACTCACCACTGAAACACAGGCTTATGATCACGTAGCTGATCAGGGCAATGCCAATAAAACAGATCAGCACGATGGTCAGCTTCTTCATCCAGGCCAAAACTTTGACACGCCTGCAAAAGTTAAATTTAAAACCATAAAAATACAAATAAAACAACAAAAAATAAATAAAAAGATTTTGTTAAATTTATCATTTTCAAAATAACTGCAAAACTAAAGCTGTTGCTCGGGGCAAAAAACGGAAGTGGATTTTGCGGTCAATATTTCAATGTGGATAGCCTTTTTAAAATTGATTTTTAACTAAGGTTGTTTTTTATACCATAAACTTCAAATTAAAAGTTCTTTTGCTTTTAACTATATAGTTTAACATGAGTACAAATTTACATAACATATTTTCATTCTAAGCGTGTAAAATAACAAAAAAAAATAAGTTCTAAACAAAAGTTGTAGTAGATAAGTCAAATCTCTATAATATTAAAAATTAATATCTGGGCAAAATGATCAATTAATATGTTTAAATTAGAGTTAAATTATTTTTGGATTTCTGGGGTCTCTTCGTTGAAACTTTTATGTTTATTAGATAAGATGTATAACAACCGAAGAGGTTTTTGCAACATTCCCGATATTTTTAAATAAGAACTTTTCAAAAAAGATTTTAAAATATTTTAACTATTTTTTTTTGCTTTCTTTCTATTTACTATTCAGATTCATAAGTCCAAATGTATTAAATAAAATTTTTATGTAAACGGATGCCGCCACCGCGCGAACACTAAAATCCCCAAGGACATACAAATGGTAACGCTAGTGTTATGGTTAATGTCCTTTTTATGCTCACATCTGCTCGCGACGCGCCTCCTCGGCGGCGGCGGTGTCCTGCATGAGCTCCCCGCCATTCTTCTCCTCGTCGGAGTCCAAGCCGCCGGCGGACTTCAGTGGAATCTTGTTCATGGCATCCTCGTTGCTGTGGTGCACCATTTTGTGGGCATCCGCTGCTGCTCCCGCTCCTGATCCCGTTCCCGTTCCTGTTCCTTGTCCTGCTGATGCTGGTGGGATGGTGATGGAGCTGCTGCTAAAAAAAAACACAGAAACAGGTGGAAACAGAAGCAACAGTTAACAACCAGAGCGCTCGAAAATGTGCAACAGTTTTCGCCAGCAGGCTTCAGCACCAACTGAAAATAAAAGCTGAAAATTCAAAGCACCGACAATCTCAAGCGATTCTCAGTCATCGACAAACGGCACCGACAAGTACAGCGAACCCTCAACGAATCGCGATAATTTTCAGCATACCGGAACCTAAAGAAATTCCTATTTTTTTGTTTTATAAAGCTTTTGCAAAAACCGCAAGAGATGGAAAAACCATTTATAAAACCCCGATAAAGTATCAAAGTTGCAAACTTCAATAGTACCATAAAAATGTTTAAGAATTGTACAAAACTGAAAATGATTAATGCCTTAACAATTACTATTTAAAACCGATGTTTGTGCTCGGAAAGCTTCACTGTATTAACTAAAGCAACAACTATATCACTGTCGTCATCGCCAACTTTGATGGCAGGATGTGGCTTGTGTGCTCGGCTACACGACACCACCCACCCACCGCCCACAGCCCCGATGTTCCTTAGGTGGGCGTGGCCCGTATAAAAATGGGTCAGACAAGCGTCAACGTCGACAGCGACGCTGGCAGAGGCAGCGGGAAATGCATTTTCCTCAATCGAGCGAGTGGATTTCCTTTTGTTGTTTCGGCCATAACCATAATTGAATGTTGTGATTGTAAGCTCGCATGGTTCGCGGGGTTTTGTGGGCGGTGGGCGGTGGATTATGGGTGGTGTTGGGTAGTCATGGGCTAAAGTCATTGCTCGCGGGAATTGGGTTAATTGCCGGCAGCTTAAAAAAAAAAAAAAAAAAACACATCGGACAGAGCAGCACCTTTTGCACTCCGGTCCTGACCTGGGCTACATTTGTAATTGTTGACGTCGCCACTCGCGCACTACACACCCCCTTTAACCCCTGAAAGCCCCCCCTCCCCTTAACCCCTTCTTCGGCTCAACTGATGACGACACTTGCTTAAGAGGGAAAGCACCTCGTAAAACAGGGTGCACAAAGAGTAAACTCGTAAATGATGCACGCGGTAGGTTAATCATGCTTGTTTACAACTCGTACTTTTTAAGAGCTACACAGAAGCAATTTTTTTTACAGGGTGATCGATTAAAGGCTAACGATATTTAGTGCAAATTAATTTTTATTTAAATTTTATTCGCTTATCTTGTGGCTTTCCAAATGATTAAAAGTAATGTTTATAATAGCAACAATGACAAAATGTAAAATAAAAGGATTTATTGCTGGGATTTGCAGAACAAATCTTAAGTGTCAACCCAATTTTTTCTTAATTTTGGTGAGTACCTAAGTATGTTTAAAAACCTTCAATGTAAATACATGTTTTTAAACAACATTTTGATATTTTTTCTGTTCGTGCAATTCCACCTATCAATTTGAGATATGCTGAATAATTGCAGGTCTAATGAATGGCCCTTTATTTGTGCGCACTTTTTACGGTTCCCCATGTTTTTCCTGGTTAATAATACTTAGCCGTTGCCGATATTGCTGTTGTTGCTGCTGTTTTTTCTGCTGCACGGCCTGGCAGGCAGGCATTCGCGCTATTTTTGGGTCAACTGCATTTAATTTCGTTTCATTTTCGTTAAATGGTCGGTGGGCCGAAAGAACCAACCACAATTATGAGGCATTCAGAATGCAATTGGGGTTTACGATCCACTTGTTCCTCGCTGCGCCCACGGAAAATGGCACATGGAACCAAAATAGAGTTGCGATGCCATGACCAGGGCAAATTAAATGCCGAGAACCAGAAATATTCCCCTTTTCTGTTTCACTTTTATTGATTGCTATTTGCACTTAGGGATTCGCAAGAAACGAACGACAGGTGGCGTGTTGGTAGTAGCCATTAGCCATGGAAAATTACTCAATTGTAACTTAGTTGAGTAAATATTTCTTAGCAGCCAAACAAAATGAAAAAAAAAATATCATAACATAATTTAAGACTACATAATGGAATTAAATTTGTATTGGTTTTTTATATGAATTTGGCAATCGTAAAACATCTATAACTATTATTGGCTTTAATTATTTTTTAAATAATACCTAAAAATATTTATACACTCGATTAAATTCCCTTTATTTCCTCACTTTTTAAATTTATTTTCTAACAAATTCTTTCACCATTTTTTTAGTTTTTGGTTATGGCGCATGCGCAGCGCCTCCAACCCGAATAAGCAGGCATCCAACTAATTAAAAATCGGAATTGGAATCGACTGTCATTATTTATACGTGAATAGACTGATCAATGAGCAATAATTTCGAAATTCCGAATAAAATTGGGAAAACTTATGGCCATTGGATAGTTTTGTAGAGTTAGCCAATACAAATATGGGAAGTGACCGACAAGCTTTATCGGTAATAAGTACACACATGTCCAAATACATGGGTACATATGTTTTAGATATATGTGTATACATTATATTAATTGCCCATTACATTTCTAACGCAGAAGAATGCTCAGATCGTTTATTGACTTTCATCTTAAGCCGACTTCTTATCGAAGGAAGCAAATTCCTTGGTTTCAGACAGAATAAAATGAATAAAAGAACGAATGATAAAAAAATTTAAAGATATGGGTCAGCTAGTAAAAAGAAAGACTAAGTACAACTATTCTTAATTTATTTTTAAAATGGTCTTAAATAAACATCTTCTATCTATATTTGATTTATTAATTCTTTTGAAATTTAAATTTCTCTACCAAATTTAAAAACTTGTCTCTATTAAGCACATGTTACTTCAAGTAGGTATCCACAAATACTGCCAGATAATTGTTTGTATTTCAAGGGGGCAAGGGCATATGGCCATAGATCATGGTTGATCGGGCATATCCAAACCCAATCGATTGGCGGCACCAATCCAATTTGCATTTCGGATTCCAAACGAATTGTTTTGGGGGGGCAATTAAGTCAACAATTTGACAAAACAAATACAATTAAAATGCACGAAGACCGGCGCAAATAAATCAAAACCCGCCGAGGGCCAACACCACACATATGAATTTAGTGAGCAAAATTTAACTCCGGATGACGAACGCTTCGGCGACCCACTAAAGTTGTTGAAATTGCAGTGTATAAAAAACTTAAATATCCAGCTGCTGACCAAAAAGGCGAAACAATTATGTTTTTTGGTTCCATAAACCACAGACTGACACCATTTCTAGGTTTACGAGGAGTCGGTTTCTTTACTACGAACTATTTTTACTTTACTTTACATCTCAAAACAAATATTTCGAAATCGAATGGGCGGTGAAATGATGAAAATATTTCTGTGATTATTTCCTTGGATTCTCCAAAAGAAAATTTCACAAAAACTAGACAGCCATAAACTTATGAGATCATAAAGCCAATGTGCAAATGTCAAATACAATTTAAAACCCCTTGTTGATGTTGTACATATACATTTTAAAATCAAATAGGTCTCTTACTCATTTGAAATATTGTTTGTGATATTAAAATTGTCAAGTCTTGATTAAAACTTTCATTTATATTATAAGCAACATTTTAAGAAATTTTAACCCAATTTTATTTTTCTATTTTATTTTCTTAGCTTGCTATTTTTAATAATTTTCTTAATCAAGTTGCTCTGTGAAATGATTAAAAAAAAGGAATGATTAACCAGTACTTAGTCATGATACAGAAACCATGAGACTAATTAGTTGTATGTCATGTTATAATACTATTTTTATTTTCCGAACCCTTTTTAGCACAATGATGATCAATTCAGTCGACCTAATGGCGAATTTCACAGTCCTCCGCCGCAAAACCGCGACGAAATGGGGCAAAGAGGCAGAGGAAGCTTCCCATAGATCAAGTGGAACAAAGATCTGTTACTGTGGGCCTCCTCGTCGCGGATTTACGCAATTTGACACATTCTGACACATTTCGCATTTTTCCAATCCCAATCCCCAATCCCCAATTGGTTGGTGACAGTGCAAATTGATCTCGCCCAAAGTTCAGGGACGCTGCCAGCAGATAAGTAGCGCAGTCTAAATGCGGGTGCACATATACTATGCGTAGCATGGTGGCTGGGTGAACGAGTATATGGGTGTTATAGATAGACACCCAGATATTAGCTGGCATGGACAGCCATAGACAGTGTCGAGCTCTATATGCCATTGCCTTTGCCGTTGAAGTTGCCTTTGCCTTTGCCTTTGCATTTGCCTCCTTCATCTTAGTATTTTTTTTTTCCGTTGATTAAGTTGTCAGCAATCAGCAAGGGGCTACGAAACGAGACGAGACGAGACGAGATGGCGTTTAGCGTCGATTACTGTTAGACTAAGTGGCCCGATCCCAGATCTGTTGAGCTAACAATTGAGCGGCCTCTTGGGAATTATCTTGATAAAGAACAAACCAAAAACAATCCAAACAAACACTGCACTTGGACACACGAAATAGGAAAATAAGAAAATAAGAAAGTAAGAAAATGAATATAAAACGCGCAGAGTGCCGGGAAGTTCATGAGGGATCAAAAGATAACCCCAAAAACAAAGAAAGTCTGAACTCGACTCAAATCGGTCCCCTTCTGATCGTGCTTTTGCTTTCCAACTTATTATCATTATTTTTTCGCTGCTGATCTCCAATGTATGAAAGGTCAAGGGTTTTCAAACCCAATAAAAAGATTAAAGAGTCTTATAATTTTGTGTTTGCTAAAAATATACCCATATTAAGTGTCAAACTAATCCCTTCCAATCAAAATTTGCTTGGTCGTTTAATTCGAATATTGAATTACGAGTTCCAGTTCGTTAGAAATATAGTGTTTTCGCAGCTGCGCCTTAATGGTTATCGAACTCTTGGTGCTAAAACTAATGACTTCATAAATGTTTTGAATGCGATAACATTGTAGAGATAACGCCACTACTAACCTTACTTCCACTGCTGCATATAATTATTATTTTCCATTCATAACATTCGCTTTGCCATAAGATAAGCCGCATGCTGGCAATTATAATTGATAACAAGA